GGCGAAACCAGTATCAGCTGATCCCAATTCTGGGGCCGGAAGGGAGCGGATGGAGCAGCTCCATCACTGCTGATCGCTGTTGTTAGTCGTAGTGACCAAAGGAAACTGCTTCCAGCTCCGAATGCGCAGCAGCAAATTTGGATCTGATACTCTGCTATCATCTTAGTTCTGTTGTGATTGGAAAAGAAAACAAACACGAAAACAGACCCATTGAAATGGACGTTGTGAACAGAGGGGCAGGCGGCGGCCGCCTGCAGTGAGCCCTCCCCGCTGTTCTGGCATCTTAAACTGCAGTGGCTGTAACTGCAGGAATAGAGCACTGTTTGCACCAGGCCTGTGCTGGCTCTGGCTCCGCAGCTCGGCTGATGCCTGTTGGCTCTGTGGGCACACGCAGTGCTGCAGTCGCCCGGTGTGGGGCTGTGCGTTGGGCCTTGCAGTCGTCCTCACTGAGAGCAGCAGTGGTTGGACCCAGCGCTGTGCACGGCAGCCCCACTGCTGTCCTTCCTGCGTTGCTCCTGGCCAGGAGCGGTGTGGGGCAGCCAAGGGAGGATATCCTCAGCCGCAGCACTCCGCCCTGATGGAAACTAACAGCCCCAACTGCCACTCGTTGGCTGTAAAAGATGATGCTCAGCTGCGGGATTAGGAAGAGCAAAGGAACATCATAGAGCCCAGCTTGGAGTTCGGGAAAACCCTCTGCAACCAGCTGCCACGTGAGGCCCTCCCTGCAGGGCAGCTCAGCATGGTGCAGGGTGCTCCCTGCCTGCAGGGCTGCTGTCCCAGCACAGAGCTGCACGCACTGGGGAGCAGCCGCAGCCCTGTGGGAGCTGCAAGAGGTGCCCCGAGCAGCCGCAGCATCGCGGCTTTCAAAGCCCGCAGAGCAGGAAGCCACGGCACTGCTTTGCTGTGTGCTGTCAGCAGGTGTTGTTGTGGGGGCTGGAGAGGTCCCAGAAACATTTGTTCCATTCACTGCCCGCCTCCCAGACGCCTCTTGCAAACCCGGTTCTTCTCTTGCCGTACAGTGCAGCATTGCAAAGCTTGTCTGCGAGGCTAAAAGCCCAGCGTGGCTGCTTGTAAATACTGATTGTGTTGTAAAATAGAAGAGCTCATTGTGTGATATTGCAAACTGTGTGCCAGCTCTGGGTGGGGAAACGTGGTAGGAAATAGACCAAGCTGCAAGGAGGGCGTGCTGTGCTGTGTGCATAGGGAAGAGGCTGCTCGATGGTTGCTGTAGGGTACTTGAAATTGGTGGGTAGTAGATCTCTTTCCTCCTAAATCTGTATTATAGTAATGGGGCACTTTGCTTAATTTTACTTTTGTTGCGTTTAATGTTGGTATCTCTTTGGAAAATGTTGCTTACTGTGTTACTGACTGAAGAGTGATGAAGGAGAATGGCAAAGAGGAGCAGGAAGGGGCTGTGGCAGTTACCCCCAAGCCCCCATGGTAGGGGTGGCAGAGAGCCCATGGGTTCCCTGAACATCCTGCGATGCGGATCCGGACCCTGAGGTCCTCCAGGGCTGTCAGTGCCAGCAGTGACACCCAATAGTGAGCCTGGCCCCTCGCAGAGAGGAGGATGCATTGTGCCCCAGCACCCCGCTGTGCGCCGGGGGAAGGGGCTCTCGGATGGGTTGGAAGCGACTTCAGAAGTATGTGAAATTCAAAGCAGGATTCGTTCAGCATCCGTATGAACTGAATTAATTTGGCCTTTTTATCAGCTTCTGCTTGCTCTGCGGTGGCTCCGCTCAGACGGACGTGTGGAGGAATGGGACTTTTCAATGCAATTTGGGAGCTGCCGGTTTTACCAGATCTGCTGTCGTTCAGTGTGCATTTCTTTTTACAGTTAAATTGCTTGTCCTTCTCAAAAGTAAGCACTTACTCTTGCAGGTTCAGCAAAATAACTGCAGCACAATGCAAGTGATAGGGGGACGGGTCGAGAAATGACTTTTAAAATCTTGTATAATAAAGTTAGTATCAACTCCTACAGCATGGTCACGTTTTTTGCCTACGCGCAGGGCTGCAGCACAGGGTGGGGGCTCAGCAAAGCTCTGCAGACCCCCTGACGGCTGTGCAGCACTGGGTGGGTTTGCAGCCCCAGCGCTGGCGCTCATTGAGCTCTGTGTTGCCCAGCATTCTGAGCCGGGCCTCTTCCCAAAGCCTCCAAACTGTCCCTGAAAGTCTCTTCAAACCACCGTTGTTTCCAAACGCTTCTCCCATCACCTGCAAAGCAGCCGCTGACGACTCTCAGGCTGTTTGAAAAAGGTGAGCCGTGATGAAAACGCCGCATTTTGGTGTTGTTTGCAAAGTGCTGTTGTTTGTGGGGGGGCGGAGTCCAACACAGCCGAAAGCGAGCTCTGATCTGCCTGCAGCGCCCTGAGTGCTGTGGCAGAGCTTCGCTGTGCTGCTCCCACCTTCCCCACCGCCCATCTGAGCTCACAGCATGCAGACTGTATTGCAGATCGCATTGCAGACCCGTCTTGTATGAAATAAAGGATCAAATGTGCCGCGATTAAAAAGAAAAACAGAAAAAACCCTCAAAGCCTCCCCTTTATTTTATCGCTTTCGTATGTAAGAGCCAAGCAGTGACGTGCACAGAAAATAACATTGAGTATGAAGAGAACACCCTTGCTGTGTGACAGAATGTTGAGCAATTGACGGTTTATATTAAAATTCTGAATAAATTATCCAAGAATAACTTCCATTTGGTTTCCGCTGTCTCTGCAGCAACAAAGGCTGCTTTACCACAGGGAAAGCTCTGAGTTCCTAGCTCAGAGCATGCAATGCTTTCGGCTACAAAATGAGTGGTGTAAGGCCCAAAGAGCCACGGGGCTCAGCTCAGGGCTCAGCTTGGGGCTCAGAGGCTCCCCATCCCGTGCTATGAATTGCCAGTGTGAGCAACGTGACGCAGTCCTTGTGAAGAACGCTCCTTCTTTTGAGAGGTGGTGGCCACCCCCGATGGCACTCCCCACCCCGGTTGGTCTGCGGTGAATTCCAGCGCTGTGATGTGCAGTGATGTCCATCAGCAGAGATTGTGCAGAGCTGATGCCACCTAGTGCTGCCGTGCATCCAGCCGTGGCGCTGGATGGGGCCGAGTGCAGCCTCTGAGCCCATCTGGAGTTCTGTCATTGCAAGAGCGATGAGAAAGGAGCATACTCGGAAATGTCTGGGAATTGCATCTCCAGACACAGGCTTGCTCTCAGGGGATGCAAACAAAGCGTGGCCTTGGTGTCGCAGAGGTCTGCAGGCGGCGATGCGGGCGGGCGCTGATGTCTGTGTCCCTCATCGCTCCTCCAGGTGCGCCGCTTCACTCAGCCCCAAACCACGTCTGCCACTGTGGATGGAGGGGATGAGCTCTGATCCTCACTCGGTTGGGGTCACTGCGCTGTCCCTCCCATCGGCCCGGTGTCTGAGCAGCCTTGCTGTGACACATTGTGCTCTTGTGGACTTAGAGAAACGAAACCTTAATTCCTCTTTGCTCTTGTGGTTTCCTGGAGCACGGGGTAATTGCTATCCCAAGCGTTGCCAAAGCTGCGGTCTCTGAGTAATTGGAGTGTGAGCTGATCTTGTTCTGATTAGGGCTTGGCTGAGGCCAGCGTGTGCATGGGGCTGCAGGGAGAGGTGCGTGCGTGGGGCTCAGTGGCACAAAGCGAACGGCCGCCGCCATCATCTCTGTGCTTTGGTTCCTCCCATTGCTTCAGTACCAGGTCAGGGACTGCTGGGCCGGGGTTCTGCCAGCACACAGCCCTGGGAGCCCACGGTGCGAGGAGCCATGGGCACAGCTTGTGCGTGCCGGGCTCACACTGCAGAGCACGCAGAGCACTTCTTCTCCGAACGGAACAGGAAGCCGTTTGCTGCAACCGCAGTCGCCGTGCCCAGCACCGCTCAGCAGCTCCCAGGACCCCGCAGGGGGCGGTTTGGGGTGCACGACTCCGGAAAGGGCGGCCGGACCCCCACGGCCCCATCCCCTGCCATAGGGCCACCATCGAAGGAGCAGCGGTATGGGCGCGGCGGTTTTGTTTGCGCCTTCCGAAAGGGGAAGCGGTGAAGCGGTGCAGCCCGAGGCCCCCGCGAGCCGCCCGGCGGTGTGGATCTTCCTTCCTCAATGAGGGGCTGCTGCCCGCGGTGCACCTGCAGGATCCGGGCTGCGGGGTGCGGCTGTGCTGTGCGGGGACATTGCTGGAGATGCCCGCGGCCCTCAGGGTGAGTTGCTGTCCTCCTCCAGGGTGTGTTGTGTGAGCTCCATCTCAGGGCTGTTGCGCGGCTTCCTCGAGGCTCTGTGCGGAAGCAGCTTCACCCCAGCGCCGGGAGGTTGGGGTTTAACCCATAGGGAGCTCCTGGTTCCCTTTGGGCGGCACTGGGCTCTGAGCCCCCTGTGGCTGTGCCCCCAAGTGATGGGTGGATCCCTGCTATAGCTGCATGGGAGGCGATGCTTTGGGGTTTGCAGCTGGGTGGAGAAATGCTCTTTGCCATCCACCCCTGTGCGACACCACCCCAAAGCAAGCCCCAGAGGCTCTGCCTTGCAAGGCTGCAATCTGCACAGCAGGAGAGAGTCCTGCAGGCCAGCAGCAGCACAAGGGTGAAACCGGGCCCTGTCAGCACAGTGAGGGGTTGGGAGCAGAGCCTGGAGCCAGTTTGTGCTGGGGGAGCTGATGGCAATGGGGCTCAGACACAGCAAAATGGGATTTTGGTGTCTGGGGGCAGATTGGAGTTGGCTCCCACTGGCCTCAGAGTGGCTCCAGATGACAGGGTGGAGCAGGGAGCTCGGGGCAGGTTTGGGTGCACGTGTTCTGCTTCCACCTGCATCCATCAACCAGCACTCCAGGGCTCTGTGTGCCGTGGGGTCACCAATCCTCAGCCTCCGCCGCAGGAAGTCCCGGAGCTGTCACACAGGTGGGAACGCCGGAGAGCAGGAATTTCTCTCTGGCTGCAGCTCCCATCAGCTGATACTTCTGACAAAACACTTGGCTGCTCCACTCCCCCCTTGGCAGCCCCTGGGCTGCAGCTTGCAGCGCTGCCTTAGACTTGCACCGAGCTCCGCTGTGCTCTGTGCCGTCCTCTCCGGCTCAGGGCTGTCCATACGTGGGGCTCAGGGGGTGCCCCAATGTCGGACTCACTGCTCAACCACTCCTGGCCGTCGTTCTCCAAGCGCTGGAAGAAGCGGTGGTCCTTTAAACGAGGTAACAGCGTGTGTGTGGGGAGAGGGGGCTGAGCCGAGCGGGGCGGAGGGGACAGCAGGGAGCTCGGGGTCCCCCCAGCGCCGGTGCCCACTGCTCCTCTCTGCGGGGACGCTGCTTACGTGTCAGTTTCTGCCGATCCTTCTGCTGCGGATCCTTCTCAAGGCACGTCAATGCCTTTGTGCGCTGGCTAATGGGTTAAATATCAGTCTTCTGGTTTTGTAATAAATACGTTTTGCTGCTGCCAGCGAGCCGGAGGTCCCAGAGCCTTCAGGCAGCTGTCTGCGTGCTGCCGGCCGAGGGCTGAGCCTCGTGTTGTGTGCTCAGTTTGGTGTCCCAGGAGATGTTGGGCAAAACGCTCCTTCAGCCTCAGAATGGGCTGAGGAGCCTTGGGCCAGGTCATGGAGGCTTTTGGGATGGGAAATCCAGTGGTCGTGTGAGCTGGCCTCATTGCTGCACAGAGCTGCAACTTGAAAAGGGAGAGGGGAGAGCCCCAGAACAGGAGATGTCCATGATCCCAGGGGAGCTGGACACTGCCATTCTCACTGCAAACTTTGCCCTAGGCCCAACACTTTTGGGTACGGTTATCTGTGTGGCATTAGAGCTTGAGACACACATCACTGCTTTTCTCTCCAAACTGCCTGGTTTGGAGCAGGAGCAGCCCCCAGCCCTGCACTGGGGCACTCCACACCGTGCTGGGCTCACTGCAAAGGCTCAACCAGGCTCCCTGTGCAAAATACATCAGCCTCAGTGTCCACAAGTACCGACCGCTCTGAGGAGCATCTCCAGCACAGCTGTCTTGAGCTCAATGCGTGGGCAGTACTGTGCCCAGGAGGAGATCGGGGGCTGCGAACCCCTCTCAGCCCTGCTGAGTCCCCCTAGCTGCCTCCCCAGTCGCTTGGCCCCGCGTGCCCGGAGCACCAGGTCCCAAAGGTAGCGATAAGGCTGCTTGCTGTGCAGCCTGCTGCAGCATTGGACAGCTTATCTTCTCCCCTCCTTCAGCCCCGGTCGCATGAGCCAATCCCCACCTCTGCCAGCACACGATGAGCTGGGGCCCGGCGCGGGCAAAGTGCTGCGCTTTATCCGATTTTGGCACAGTGAGCTCAGCACTTCTTTGCAGTTCAACACCCCTCTCGTTCTGATCATCCCGTGGGGCTGTGCTGGGCCAGCGGGGCAGAGCCAGGGGGACCAAATGCTGCTCTGTTCCTATCTGTGATGCCTTCAGAGCTTAGCAGCAGCCTCTATCCCCATTTGCTGGGAAATGCCCGGCTTTGTTCTGCTTTCTTCTTCCTTCTGGACTCAGCTGTTGGGTCCCACTTTCCCAGTGGCACCAAACACCCCAAGACTGCCTCAGACTGCTGCGTGCTGGGGATGCTGGTCGCCACTTCCTTCCTCCCCAGGCAGAAGCCCAGCATCTCCACGTTCTGCAAAGTCCAGCCCAGCACTGCCCCACTCGTGTGCAATGCTTCGTCCCCAGCTCTGCCCTGGGAATTCCTCTGGTGAAGCTGCTCCCTGCAGCAATAACCTTTTATGGTTCCTGGCCAGAGGCGAACTAAGCAACTGCAATACCTAATCTGCTTAATGTTCCCCTACACCAAACAGCGTGTGCTCTTGGAAGTGTCATTTTGTCATCTCATCTCCAGCTTCAGCAGAGGAAACGTGAAGACAGGTGCCTGGCTGTGCCAGGGAGCTGCAGGGCCATTCCCCAAGCACCTTGCGGTAGCAAGATGGAGCAGCATCCTTCCAACAGCCAGGCAGGGCCTTGGGGTGTGCCCTTCCTGCTGGTAGAGGGGTGACCACGTCCATCTCAGACACAGGGATGCTCCCAGCTCCTGTATGCTCCTTCCTTGTTCACCTTGCCATAACCTGATGCTTGAAAATGCGTTCTCCCAAAGAGCCCCTCCACCAGATCCCTGTGCTCCCTGCACGGTGGCAGCCCAGGGTCACCAACGGAGGACCTAAATGCAAGGAGCCAGAATCCAACGTGGCTCTCACACATTGCCTAAAATGGTGTCCCCAGTGCCGCAGCCACGTGCCAGTGCCCAACGGTCCCTGTGCTGCGCTCACTGCCACTGGCTGCAAACCTGATTTATCGTGTGTTGAACAGCAGTGTCTGAAGTGCCTGGGGGGGGGGGGACGGACATGAGCTGTGTGTGGAGCTGTGGGGCGCATCAACTGCAGGGCACATCACAGCCAAAGCCAGAGCTCTGCACGGCACAGGGAATACTTTCCAGGCCTCCGAGGAGCTGACTCTGATCCAGGGACCCACTTCAGAGCTGCAGGATGGAGCCTGGTGTGGAGCCAGCTTTGGCACGGCCGCGACCCACCCTGCAGGAAAACACCCCTTTGTTTCAGCTCAACCCGCAGGGCTCTGGCCTCTGTCAGGCTGAGCACTCACCAGCTCTCACAGCTCCATCTCTGCTTTTCCAGGCCTTGCTCCTCTCTCTGAGGCTGCAAGAGACTGTGACGGCAGGCAGCCTCCTCCTGCTTCCCTCCTTGTGCTTCTAGAGAAGAAACATTTGTCCTCACCCCCTCACACCTCCCCAGCCCTCTGGTTGCTCCCCTTGATCAGCTTACCCCGGTCTCAATCCCAGCCCATTTCTGGATTCAACAGCTTTTGCCACCCACCGATGCCTTTGGCTGCTCAGCTTCCCTGGGGGCTGTGTCAGAACGTGCACTGCTTGGCCAGCACTCTGATTTTTGGTTGCCATCTGAAGAGGGGAAATCAGAAAGTGATGATAATGCTCACTGGGTGACCCTTAACCAGCCTTACAGCTAAGGCACTCTTAATTAAAACAAGGCCTTACTGGGCTGTTTTCTCTGCTGTACAACTTAAAGCCCCTTTAAAGAGCTGCACACGTTTGAACGCACGAACACTGCTTCACACAGAACAGCTGGTGCCTGCAGACCCAAACCTCCAGCTTCTCCCTGGTGCTCGCTGCCTTCTGGGCTCTGGCACCATGCACTCCTTACTTGCAGGCTGCATCATGCAGCATTAAAGCTTGCAGGAGAATGCATGGTTTCTTGTTAGGATCTTCGTCACATTAACATTTTTACAATTCACTTTCCTGCAATACATTGGGTTTCTAGCAGTTTCATGCCTTTCTGTTCCTACTGGATAGATGTGGTCACTCACGACCTCTCGCTGTTTTCCCCACGCTTTCAGCCCTGCACTGCAGCCGGCAGCCTGGCCTCTTTCCACTCCCCTCAGCTGTGTGCATCTCAGAAGAATAAAAGGCCTCCATGAGTCATATGCAATGGTTCAGATGGTGGCGAAGGTTTACACTGTCTCTCGCTGCATAGGAATGTGCTGCAGTCAGCTGGGCGATGTTCTGCGCCGCGCACTGAGGCCAGACCGTGGTTTTGTTTCTCAATGAGCACTGGATGCTGTGCACACACTCAGCTCACACCCACCCAGTGCTGGGAATGTCCACGTGGAGAGGAACGAGCTGCCATCGGGAGAGCCGCGCTTTTCCACTGCTGCAGAGATGTGGCACTTGGGGATGGGGGTCGGAGGCAGGGTGGGGATGGGCCGATGCTTGGGCTTGATCTTAGATGTCTTTTCCAATCTTACTGATTCTATGATTCACTGGTGCCTGAAGTCCTCCCATCCTACCGCCCATGAGTATCCTTGGGAGCACAAGGAACAAGGGGGCAGAGGGCTTTGTCCGATGCCACCCCTCTGTGCAGGGCTGACCCTGGCCATCCCATGGCACACTGTGATCCTCTGTGTCTTGCAGGATCTGACTGCAAGCCGTGCTTACGGGAGCTCGCTGACCGCAGTCCCTCTGCTTTGGAGTACCACAGCCCCAAGCGTTTCCTCCCATCCCTGATTGCTGAGGATGACACCTTGTTCACCAGCATGGCCGAAGAAAAGGCAAGTGTCCTCTTTCCTTCCACTATCACCATGCAGGGCAGCAGCTGGGCTTAGCAAACTGAGGGGTCAGTGTCATATTCAGCAGGGTCTGTGATGGAGTAGGGATGGGAGAAAGGAGTACTGACCCAAGCTAACTAGGGATACAAGGTTATAGTGCTCCTGTTGCTGAGCATTAGTGGGAATGAGGCATGGAGAGGTGTTAGGGTGGAAGCAACCTTCGTAGGTCCCTGGAGCAAGCTCAGCGGGTGGGTATGGGACAGGTCCATGCAGAAGAGCAGCCCCAGCATGGGAAGTGCCCCTTGGCAGGAGGTATGCGAGCATCTCGGATGGACTCTGTGCTCAGGATGAGCCTTTGTGCCTTTGCAGGAGGACTCATCTTCCACAGAGCTGGACGTCCCAGCAGCAGACTTACACAGCAGCACAGAGGATCTCCTCTCAGACTCCGCTCTGCACGGCACAGAGTATTACAAAGACCTGGGGCTTCTGAGCCCACCAGATAACAAAACAGTGCCAGAGATGGCAGCACGGCCAGAAGCTGCCCCCCAGGCTGCATCTGCCATTTGCTTATTGGAGGAGAGATCAGGGGCTCTGGGAAAAATGTCTGTGGATGTTGCCTTTTCCAATCCCATCTCCTGCTCGGTGCGTTATGGTGAGGCCGACTGCCACTTTCTGAACAAAGCTGCCAGCACTGTTGAATGTCCTGCGGAGGAAGATGAAGCTTCGGACCTTCAGGAGGCCTCGGAGTCCTTCCCCACGTTGGTGAGATCCATGTCTACCTCTAGGAGGCACAGCTGGGAGAGCCCCTTGTCACCTGTGGACTGCAAGCGCAGGTAACAGCCCATGAGGGGACATTTGGTGCATACCACAGGATGGTGCTGCCTGAGGTGGAGTTAGAGCACTGCTGCTGCGTGATTTCAGAGACAGAGATTGTGCAGCAGGGAGCTTTTATATCTCTTGGCAATAGGAAAATCTCTTGTCCTGGTCTTGGGCCCAGGACCTCCCTTCTGGGAAGAGCTTGTTTCTGGCTGGAGGGGACTCCTGAACAGCACAGCTGCCCTGATAGCCTTCAGCCTCTGGCTCAGAGGGATCTTTGCTCACTCCAGTAGATAAAGAGAGGCAGCACCTTTCTCTTCTTATCATAGAATCATAGAATGGCTTTGGTCAGAGGGGACCTTAAGTATCATCTGGATCCAACCATGTGCCGTGTGCTGGTTGTATCCCACCAGATCAGGCTGCCCAGGGCCCCATCCAGCCTGGCCCTGAACACCTCCAGGAATGGGGCACACACAGCTCTCTGTGCATCCTGTGCCAGGGCCTCACCATTCTGTCCCCCTGCCCTCCATGGCTGCAGAAGAGGGTGAATGCGTGTCCTGATGCTGAGCTGGGAGTGGTTTCCAGGCCTGGTATCACTGCCGTGCTCCATGCCTGCAGTGTTCTGCTTTGGGTTCCTGCATGCACGTTCACCCTGCTGACAAATATATTGATCCTTCTGCTGGCTGGGAGCTAGGTGCAAGCCAGCAATGACTATTTATATCTCTCCTCTTTATAAGGTACCCTAAAATTATCTCAGCCCAAAATCTTGGCAGTCCTTTATCAAGCTCTGTCTTTGGTTCTCAGACCCACTGTTGGGCCATGTGCCGGGGATCATTCACAGTTTACAGAGCAACAGGCACACGAGTAGTGGTGGCACAGAGCGGCCGTCTGCGTCAGTCTCCTCAATCAGTGATGAAGCACGTGTGAGTGGAGGGGCAGGGAAGGGGAACGTGCCCTGCTGTCCTTTAAGCAAGTGCTTCCTGAAGCCTGGCAGTGGGAGCAAAGCAGCAGCGAGCTGCAGGCAGAACCTGCTGCAGAGAGTAAGATTTTCCACCAAGCCCTACCCACCATTCTGTACCTGCACTGCTGGCATTGCAGCAGCATTCGGTGTCCAGGAAGCCGTGGGGTGCTGGGGGGTTGCCCTGCCCCTTGTTTCCCAGAAGAAGGTTTATTTTCCCTTCCTCAAAGCTGGGACCAGAGAGTCAGGATTTACGACATGACTCCACGTTGGTGAGTCGACAAACGACAACATCTGCCATTTCTAAATGCCCACAGTGCACTGCAGCCAGTGGGGCAGCAGCTCTTACAAGGGTGAGACAGCTGTGGAGTCCCAGGAGCTGCTGAACATCCCAGCACGGGACATCCCAGGTGACTGAGGAGCTCATGGACCAGCTGAGGGCAGCCAGACAAAATGCTTTTGTTTTCTCGGTGTCCAAGCTGACTCTTCCCGGCATTCCCCCTCCCATACGCTTGCTGTGGTGGCCCTCCTTGGCTTATCTGTAGGCCTTTTAGGACTGCCAGGACACGGCAGGGCTGTGCTGTGCCTGTCACTATGGGATGGCCTTCTAAGCTGGCTTCTTACTCTCTGCTGATTTAGGTTCAGCTTGGATACCACAGAGAGAGGCAGTGATCCAGAGCAGGAGGAGGCGGAGAAAGGGAGCGGGTCCTGCGCACAGCCTCGTGTGTCCCTGCAGCTGCCCGGGGGGAAGCAGGGAGCCTGGAGCAGCAGTGCGGGCAGCATGGTGATCAAAGTGCAGATAGAGCCACTGCGACCCGGCGGCACGGCCAGCCTGGGCTCAGGGGAGGCGGTGAGTGTGCGAGGGGGTGCAGCGCTGCTGGGTGGGCACACAGGGTGGGGGGCTGTGGGAAGGCAGGGGTGACTGCTGGCACTTGGCATCGGAGCCCCATTCCCTGCCTTGCACCTTGCCGGCTGTGCCCTTATGGAAGCTCTCTTGGTGCACAAAGGACCAAAGATGTCCGTGACTTTTTACTACTCTAGGAACGTGTCGGTGATGGGAAGAGACTGAGGCCACTGTCCATCCCTTCAGCCTGCAAGGCTGCCTCCCCCCAGGCGCCCTGTGGTTTCAACACTTCTCTTTCAGCCATGGAAGGTTTGTACAGACCACACGAATAGCTTCCAATGAATTCAGCTTATCTGTGATTGAGTTATAAAACCAGAGATGCAGCCTCTGCAAGTCTAGACAGCCTCTGCCCTTCTCTTCCATGTGGTCCCCAGAAGCACCCAGATGAAGTCAAGCTGACTTGGAGTCTGATCTCAGTTCAGAGCAGTCTAAGCACAGATATGTCCCCAGTGACTCATTGCCATGTATTGGTCATTCCCCACTTACACAAGTCAATGACAGTATCCTAGGAACGAATGTAGAGAATTGTCCAGAAATAAGTGGAAGAAAAGCCATGCAGGGAGGCTGGAGGGTCTCTGGGTGGTGCCAGCCCCCATCACCTAGCTGCAAGCAGGAATTCAGTGTAATGCAGACTGGAGAAGGAAGGTGTGATACAGAAAACCAGGGTGTCTGCTGAGAGTGTTTTCTGTTCCAGGTGTTGAACCCCCTGCTCTGGAGATGCTGGAGAAGGACCATGTGTCCCCAGACCAAGTGTAGGTATTGTCAGTCCTGGCTGTTTTGAGATGACAGATTTTTGTGTGCATCTGAGCTACTGGAGATCCATCAACAAGCCATAAGGAAGATCCCACTCTATGCTGGGCACAGCTCAGTAGCTGGTTGTAGAACAGTGCTTGATTCTTTGTGGGATGCAGAATTCCTTTGCAAGGAAATTTTCTAATTTTTTGCTTTTCTTCTGCTCTATCCCTCATAGGCTAATAGTACAGCAGGTTCTTCAGGAGCTGAAACAGTATCACGGGTGAGTGTGTCTGGTAGAGAGATCTGGGCAGGGAGGTCACTGTTCTACCTGGGATCTACCCTCAGATGAGGTGCAGAGCCCAGTGGTCAAGCAGGGAGGGTACCAGAATCACCATATCCTTCCAGTGAAGCCAGGCATGATTTGCATGAATATGCAAATACCTCTTCTGTATCTCTGCCCGTCTCCAAAGATCTGCTCTTGTGTCTTTTGCTGTGTGTCTGATGTCTTCTCCATGAACAGGGCGAAAAAGAGAGCTTGTGTGCAAGAAGGCAGTGATTCTTCCCAGCAGAATCTCACCTGGTTTGAGTTCCTGTCTAACGAGTAAGTGAGGTGGGCAGGAATCCACACGCTTTGCATCCATGGAGCAGACTCTTATTTTTAGTCCCCCTTCATCAAAGCTCTTCTGCTCTACTAATGGTGCACACGGAATATTGGTGTCTGCCACGGCTCAGCCTGGACTGGGGCCCCACTGTGCATGGCTCCAACCAAAACCAGAGCTGGACAGAATACAAAGGCTCATGTCCTTGTTTTCAATAATGATGGATGTTAAACCAGGTCTTCCAGGGGGTGGAGAGCCCAGGGATGGGGTGCTAAGGCAATCCTGATAAACTTCATCAGCGATCTCCTTGAACTGTGCTTGGCCAGTTATCTTCTCCTTAGGTAAGATGGTTTTGGTCTTTTTCAGAAATGAGGACAGTGGAAAGAGTGAGAAAGCAGAGAAAGGCACAAAGGTGATGCGACGCCTGAGTTCCCTGCGGAGCCGTGTCACCGGGTCCTGGCAGAAGGATAAGGTGAGGGAGAGACGCACTGCTCTGCTCTGTGCCAGGGTCCTCCTGCTTGGCTTCACCAACAAACTGTGAGCAGTGCAAGGTGTAACGGAGCTGTTGTTCTCTCCTTCCAGGGTAAGAACAAAGAGCAATCAAAAGAGAAGGAGAAAGAAACAAAGGAGCCAAAAGAGAGTTGGAAAGAGGTCCATCGGCACCAGCTTGTGCCAGGGGTTTTCTCCAGTGCCACCAGCTGCTCGCTGTGTGCCAAACCTCTCAGGAATAAAAGTGGTCTGCAGTGCCTGAGTGAGTATGGCTGTTGCTGCTGCTCTGACCCAGCCTGGCTGTCACCCGCTCCCCATCCCCCCCTTGGCAGGACGCCGATTCCCCGCTTCAGTCAGCCTCATGGGTTTCATGGGTTGCTTCACTTTTCTGCCTGGCTCCATTCACCCACCCTGCTGCTTGGCCTGGCTTGGTTATTCTCCAGTCTAAACGATCACTAAATCCTGCTGGGCGATATTTTATCCTTGTTATCTTTGGCCACCTGATCATTTCCTACCCCTTTACCCAAAGGAGGCTTCTAGGTCAACTTTAACAAGCTGTTTTTTCACAAAGCTCTATTTTGCCCCTGCTGCCTGGGTGAAGCTGCTTTCTAGGCTTTTTTAACTAATGCAGTGATGAGACAGCTCAGCACCTACCCTGGGTTTGTGCATAAGGATTCCTGGAGCACCCAAGCCCTTCACAACTAACACAGCAGTTCAGTTGGGACCCCCGGGATCCGCATGGATGCTGCTTTTCAGATGCATGCAGTGCACAAGAATGGCAGCTGTGCCTTTGCAGGCACGCATAGGAAAATGTCTTCTCACTGCTTTTCCTTGGGCCTTTCTGCACGGCGTTGGCTGATAGACAAACTCTGTCCTCAGGGCACTGAAGAACATTTTAATTCCTAAGGGGTTGCCTGTGGGTAGATTAAATCTTTTGGAAATGAGAGAATTGCTCTCTTTCTCCACCCTGTATCCTCCAGTAATTCTCACGCTCAAGTGAAGAACTCTCAGAGGCTCTTAAGGTCAGTACAACCTTCCTGGGGCAGAAGCTCTGGCTGCCCTTGGGCACGTGTTGTGAGAAACTCTCCCTCCAGGGCAGAGGAGAACTGAAAAGGACCACGGGCCATTAGTGAACATTTTAGAGGCATCACAGCAGAAAGTAGAAAGGAAGGAGCTGAGAAAGAGGAAGTGCTTTGTGTTTTGTGGACATTTTAGAAGGGACTCAAGTGTTTTGAGAAGAATGCTTTGCTCTTCCTGCCTGAGGAACCCCTTAGTGGAGGCTCTGTTGGCAGTGCTGCATGCTGCATTACCAGAAATAGCTGAATCTGAGCAGCTGCAGATAGTCCTTACTCTGTGCTGCAGCAAGAGCTTGGAGCTGCAATTTGTCTGCTCTGGGGAACTCAGGAGTCACTGCCAGGCTGAATGACCCTTCTCTCAACAGCAGTTTTGGAGCTCTGTGATCTCAGGGGTCGGAGCTATCTGTCTAAATGGCAGTGTGGCTTGGCATCGTAAGTGCGTGGGGACTGGAGATCGGTTATATTGACCTTTACCTTGTTTCTTAGACTTACCATGAGGTATCCGTGTTCTTGAGTGTTGTTAACATTCAGCAGAAAAACTCCATGGTGATAGAAGAATTGCTCTGTGTTTGGGACAGTGACATTTCTTTTGGCTTTCTGGGTTGCTCGGGGCTTACGCTGCTTAAGCTAACGAGGGTGGCTGGGCAGCAGAGCTCATTTTCGTGCGCTCCCCTTGTGGTGGCTTGAACTCAGACTGAGCAATTGTGTGGAGTTCTGTGATGCTCATAACAATTAACGACCTGTCTGTGGCCAGATCTGGGTAGAGGACTTGTTGCAAGACAGCTGTTAGACTGAGAGTGCCTATATTTGGATTACGTTGGGCTGAAATCTTTGCAAGCTGCTGCTGGGCAGCAGAGCTGATGGCTCATCTCTCCAGTTGCTGTGACTGCAGCTGGAGCAGTGAGTGGTCTCCTGAGGAGTCACTGATAGGGCTCTGAAGAACAGAATGTGGGCCACCGTGTAGCTGGAGTGCTGCGCTGTCCTTCAGAAGTGAGAGTTGTTCAGTCAGTGCTGAGCTGCAGCTGCTGCCAGAACCTCGGGATGTTTCCCCATCCCTCTGCTTTGGCTCGCAGCCACCTCCTGGCCCACCTCTCGGTCAGGTGCTCTTGTTTACGTGATCGCCGTGGTATTTTTAACTGCAGCACCACCGTGTGGTGGAAAGCGAGCCGGGCTCCAAGAGAGAAAATAGAAGAAAAACTAACAAAGAAAGGGCTGGGCTGAAGGCAGGGAGAGGAAGGCTGGAACGGGCTGCATAAATCATAGCGAAGATCACCATTCTTCTGCTAGAAACGGGCACGCAAGCTATGGAGAAGGCAGGCAGCCTGAGTGCCTGTGTGTGGGGTCACCTGCTTACCTCTACATCCCAGTTCCTCCCTTCTGCCCTCACACTGCAGCACAAAGCCTCCCGGTGCAGGTGGGAGCTCCAGGTTCATGTCTCCCAGACGTGCTGTCAGGACTCTGGCAGGGATGAAGAACAAAGAGCAGTGTTTATGGTAACTGGGATCTCAATAGCTGTGGCCACCCAAACTTTGCTGTTGTATAAACTTTGAGATGAGAGCCTCTGGGTTTATTGTTCACCTGGAAATGAAGAAAGCTCCTTTTGAGCCTCAGCTGTCAAGGGTAGAAAAGGTTCTGTGCCTAAATTAATCCCTTCTTATAAACATGCTTCCAGTGTTTATGCAATGGCAGTTAGATGGATCCCAGGAAAGCCCTGGCAGGAGGGAGCTCTGTGAGCAGGCTGTGCCATGGAGGGGAGCCAAGGGTGTGATGGCAGAATTGCTTCCCTCCCAGTGACCTGAGCTTGAGCACTGGGGTAAAGGTGGGACGTCTGTGATTTCTTCCACTGAGAGTTACATCTTCATGACCTTATGGGAGAGGTGCAGCCTCAGTCCTCTTTGTCAAGGTCAGATCAACTGTCTTCTTATAAAGCAAACCTAAGACTGCTGCAGAAGTTGCTTGGTAGGTTTCAGTCAGGCCAGCTATTGGCCTGGGCTTGAAATGCAGCATGTGAAATTCAGCTCTCAAATTGCACTTGTACCTACATGCTTCTGCTTTTACAATGCCCAGTGCAACATCGATAGGCCAATAAGGGAAGGGGAGGTTTTCCTTACAATCAGGAGGATGTCGTTGATTTTCTGCTATGAGATTTCTGCTCACAGCCTACACAGAGCTCTGGGAAATCTAAAAAGCAGCAAGCAAACTTAAACTTCACATTTCTGGAAAGAGACACAACTGCCAAAAAGCTTCTGTTCTAGAGAAGAGGAAGTTTGGTTGCTGTAACATGATGACAGCAATAAATGGACTGGGAGTCTTGCTTAGAATGAGTGACTACTGACAGGAGTCCAAATAAAACAGGCAAAACCAGAGCGACTGTGATAGGCAGTGGGTTAATGTAGTCACAAGGCAACAAAGTGGGATCTAGGGCAACTGTGAAAGTGGTCTGTGGGGCTGGTTTCAGTGGAAACACTGAGCCAGGAATCTGCAATGTACAGCCAGCCCTGCTGAATACTCACAGCAACTGCCGAGGTTTGAGAAAAGGAAGCTGGAAAAATACGTTGTTCTCAGTGCTTCCCCGCTTTTCACTTTGTACTTTCTGGACAGAATTGCCTCTATCTGGAACATTTCCAACACACTGTTCCTTGCATTTCCTCAGTAGCTCATACACCTGGCCTGACAAGTGCAGCAGGCTGTGTGACAGCAAGCTGCTTGCTACCCATTCTGTAAGAAAATCTCTATTATTGTAGAGAATTACCCAGGATTAGAAAGCTGGTGCGGTGCTCTTTACTGTGCAATCCAAACCTTAGCTCTAAGCCATGGAGTATTTCAGCTGGTTGCTATGCCAGATTTTGCACTGATTCTGTGGAGATGCCCTGAGGCCAACCACACAAGCACAGCGTGTTCTCTCCATGAAAGCTGTCACTGGGCAAGCTGCAGTGCTGAAGTTTAATATTATAGCGAAGCACAAAGTTTGAAGTGTCTGAGGACTCATTTGTCACAAAGCAGCAGCCAGCTGTTTACCCTCAGACTGCTTTATTTAATGGTTATTTCTCTGTATTACTTTAGTGCTGAGAGGCCCTGATAAACAATTGGGACCTTTTTGTACTTAGTCCTGTACAGCAGCAGAACAAAAGGGAACATTTCTGAAAAGCTTGCAAATATAAGATGAAAAAAAAAAAAATCAATGAAGTAGGTTGCAACGTGGAAACTAGAGACAATATTGGCCTTGAGGCAGTAGGATTTCAGCCCATCTCCAGCCAAAATGGTGTCAGGTTCTTCCAAAGCAGGGTGTGAAAGCTGTAAGGTGGGTTTTAAGGTTTGCTTTGTAATTGTGCATGTTGCATTTTCAGGCTTGACAGGCAGCTTGCACATGCACAACTTAAGACATGAGAAATCAGTGATGGAGCTCAGCACTGTAAGCTCAGAGCGAAGCAGACTGGGTGGGAGAGGAGGTCATAAGGAGTTCTGATTTCTCCTCTCTCCAGAGAGGTCTTTGGTGGCACTGTGCTAGCACCAGGTCAAACCAGACACTATCAGTACCAGGGAACCATTTTTCCAGCAAATTAGTTACACAGGTCAGCACACAAAGCTGCTGACGGTGAAGCAATGCCTCCTTTGCTTTTGCTGTGAGGACGCAGTGCTTGCAGGGCAGCTGGGAGGTGAGCACTGCCAACCCAGCCCAACACTTCGGCAGAAGTTGCTGCAAACACATTGTGTTGAACAGCAAATCCTGCCAAGCTTTTAATGATGAACTCCGTATTTAGAGTAAATCCCTGGCACTACACAAACACACGCGTTGCTGTTCTAAAGCTGTCACTTGAGGTGCTGTGTGCCATCTATTAACAGCCCGCTGTCTCTGTTGGTGCTGCGGGCAGGCGCTGATGGAAGGCAGGGCCCCTGGAAACTCAGAGCTGTTCCTCAGGGCTCTGCTTTAGGGCCAGTTCTCTTCCATGTTTTCCTGAATGACTTGGGCGTAGGACGAGGAGGTGTTCTGAACGAGTTCGCTCACACTCCAAAACTGGGAGCTGTTGACTCCACCGAGGGTGGAGAGAGGTCCTTCCAGAGGGAGAATTAGAGAGCTGGGTAATCACCGGCTGCGTGGAGTTTAACAAGAGCAAGCGCTGGATTCTGCACCTGGGGAGGAGCAGCTGCTCGGCCCAGCAGGGCGGGCTGAGGGGAGCTGCTGGCGGCCTGCGGCTCCTCACAGGAGAGCTGCCAGAGCTCAGAGCGCTTGGGCCCTCAGACGCGGGTTTGGGCACTGCTGCGCGGAGCCGGCGATGGACTCGACGATCCTTACGGATCGCTTCCAACTCGGGTTCTTCTTTATTTCTATGACTCGCGGCCCCCGGGTGGAGTTTCCCCAGGAACGCCGAGGAGCGCGCTCACCCCTCCCTACCCGGCCCTGCGCGGTGCGGGAACGCGCATGCGCGGCTTCGCGCCCTCCGCCCCTTTTTACTTCCGGGACACGGAGAGGCGTTTCCTGTTTCTGTGGCGACCGTTCCCGGGACGGAGAGCGCAGCTCGGCGGCTCCCCGGGGAGTCCGGTAAGAGACCGGGCTGCCGGTGTTCCACGGGTCCCGGCTCCTCGCGGTGCCTCTTCCAGGGCCTCGGCAGACCCGCCTGGCCCCGAGCCCCCACCCGCAGGGCCGGGTGTGGAGGCCGTTGGCTGCCCGCGGCGGGGGGAGGCGCGCGGGGTCGGTGGTGCGGATCGAGCCGGGACTCGGCCTCGGCGCCGCGCTGAGCTCTTCGTTGTCGCGGTAAATCCCGCGGGGTTTGCGTGTCGGGGCTCAGCGTGGGGCCGAGGCGCCGTGTGGTGGGACGGCCCGTACCTCAACCTCAGGTTGAGGGAGGTGAGCCGGAGCCGCGGGCTGCTGCGGCCTCGTGTGCGGGTGGTTCTCGTGTCACAGCTGGGTGCGAGCAGCTCTGCGCTGGGGCGATGGAGCCCCGTCCCTGCTGCTCACACACAGCGCTGAGGCTGCTGGGGCTGCATGACAGAGCTGTGCCCCAGGTGTACGTCAGATACCTGAACTCTGGGGGAAAATATGTCTGATGCTGTGCCTGGTTTTGCTGCCCCAGTAGACCAGCCAAATCATTGACTGTCGTTCGAAGATTCTCTGCTGTGGTTTTGTTACTGTAGTCTGTGTGTCTTCTGTGTGAAACTAAGAGAATAAACTGTTCCTTCTTAGCTGTTTGTTGCAACTCCTTTTGAAAGAGTTTTGCAGCAGGCTTTGTGATTTGCGTTCATGAATTTATGAACACAATAGTTAAATCCTCTTTGGTGTGGTATAAAAATAAACCTGTGAAGTATGGCTGTCAAACAGGAGCCATCTGACACGGTGTGTTGAAGTTCCACCTAATGTTTACGTATGAAATGCTTTAAATACCTTTTGTGATTGTCATCATTGCTGCTTCAGCCCTGTAGGGTTCCTGCGAAGTGGGGGAAGGGTTCCGTGTGGCAGAACTGAGATGGAAGTTGTTTCTTTTAGTATAATACACTGATTAGAATTTGTATTGTTTAAATGGAGAAGCGTGCATTGTTCATCTGTTTCAGTTTGGGGTGCTGTGCTCGAAGAAGACCTGAACACCCCCAGAGTGCTGGGTACAACACCGGCCCCAGTGTGTGATGTTTTGACAACAAAAGCAGACGCAGCGAGATAGGTTGGTTTGGGAGAGCAGAGGGGAAGCTGAAGCTGAATGCAGTGTGGTGTTGTTGCTTTCTCACATGGGCTGTTGGCGCTTCAGAATGCGAGGTATCTTGTCGCTGTGTGCTCCTCCAGTATTTGGTTTCTGCCTCTGCACAGTTAGACATGTTAGCAAGATAAGCAAACATTGGTTGCTGAAGCTGCCAGGATGAAGTTAAATCTGTTCCAAGTTCCTGGAGGTGCGTGACCTGGATTCACCAAATACAGAAACTTCTTCAAGTTCCAGTTGAAACTCCTCCTCCTCCTTAAGGAGTTGTATCATCCCCTTGCTCTGCTTCTTCAGGAGCACTGAGGCTACTTGAGGTGTTTCTCTGTTGCTGTGTTGTGCATCCTGGTTTAAATTCAGGTTTTACATTCTGTGTTAATCATTCACATGAGAGTCGTTCAGAGCTACATGTTTTCTTTGTCAGTTCAGGAGAGGATAATAACCTTGTGTGGTGTAAGGTTGAGGTTCTCTTTGATCTCTGAAGTGTCAGACATCTGAAAGCATAAAAACATGCTGTTTTACCAGGAAGCTTCCTTAGCCACAGCTCTCTTTAGTTGGTTGGATTTAACAGATAGTGGATATCCTTAGTGTTAGAGCAGTACGTGAGCTCCTTGTGCCTTAGAAATAGTATTAAAGGTGTCCTCCCCTGAACTTGAGTGTTTTAAAGGTGTTTTTTTTTTTTAATCCATTGTTTAAAAACACCAACATTATATATATTTGAAGGGGGGAAAAGACATCAGTAGTTAAATTTTATATCTAAGCGTTAGTTGTGACTGTCTGCAAGTGACCTTTTGAGAGTTCTTTAGCTGAGCAGTACCATTCCAGACCAAAGGTCAGGGTCACAATACTCATAATATTTGGTGAGTCATAGTTTTGTCCTGGAATCCAATTCTGGAAGGCACTTATGGGACATTACTGTGGTGTGGATCAGACACTGGCATTGCAGCTGGGGGGGAATGTATTTGTGTGCCCCTCTTCAGCTGCTCACTGCCCTCCTGCATACTGGGAGTCCACATTGTGCTTCTTGGGCTTCTTGTGTTACCCAATGAAGTTGGTTTCTGGGAGCCCTTGGGAAAGCGTCTCATTGATAAGGGTAGTGTGTTTGTTAACCAGTTATTTGTCTCATTATCCTCGATCATAAACAGGACCACTAATGGTGTTTGATTCCCTTGATTGTGAATGTTTCCTTGCTGGCTCAGGCTGGACGTTTAGTTTTGTGTTGGTTTTTTTCCTCATACAACATGAGAAGGACCCAAAAATGATGTTTTCTAATATTAGGCATCTATAATTAGTGTAAATCGGTAATGATCCTTTCATATTTGTCTTCACTCAGTATCAGTCTCAATCTCTTCAGTTTCCTGTGACTTCCCCTCTTTTGTGTCCCTCACTTTTTCTCTTTGCTGCTTTCTTGACTCCTGCGCTCTGTCCAGAGAATAAAGAGTGCAAGGAGTCCTGGTGTGCAGGAAAAGGAAATCCGTTTCAGAGGTATTCAAAGGTCTGTTCTCATCCCTGATTGGAAGCATCTTTGGTTCAGCAAAAGCGAAAGAGATGGGATATGTTTTGTAAAAGGAATTGTGCCTATAGAACAGCCCGATTCTTCTGCCAGTTCTCAAAATGTGGCTCTGTTATGTGGGTGAAAATAACGCCCTTTGGAAACCAGTGAGTTCCCAGCATTTCGGGTCGTCCTTCAGAGCCAAGTCCTCCTGTTTATCTCTGGTTTTCTGAGACTTTCCTGCAGCACTTCCCCATTTTCTAGTATGTTCTCTCCTGTTGTGTGGAGAATCTTTTGGCAGCATAGGAAACCAGTGCACAGCACTGTTAGGAATGTCATTGCATCTGATGAAAAATAGCAACCAAGTGGTAGAAGGTGTTGTCTTTAGCTGAACAAGTACATGGTTTTAAAGCTGGAACATATTTTAAAGTTAATACCCCTTTACAGTTAGCTTACCCAGGCAGCCGAAGTTCTGAGGAAGGACTGCTTACTGTTAATACAACTACTGATCATTAGCAGGAAAGAACTGGGCATAATCACTGAATAGAGGAAATGGCAGGGAGTATCGGTGTCTGGTTTGTTTGATAAGCTGTGTAGGAATGGTGCATGACCCCATCTGGCTGCACAACGTGGGTCTGGGGAGCAGCAGTGATGTGTGGGGCAGAGCAGGGCTGGGTGACCCCCCTGTCCCCGTCCCCAGCACTGTGGGGCTGTGCCCTGACGGAGCCCAGTCAGAAACCGGGTGGAATCCAACCCAGCATGAGACCAGGAAGGATTTCTCATTTTCCTGTTGTGTGATGACAGCCCTACAGCTGCTCCTTCCTCTCAGGGGTTGCTGTTGTCTCTTGGCTGTGTGTTATTCTGGCATAGCTTTTACTGAGCTGCTTGTTTGCTGCTGATGTGTGTTCACCAATGCAATAATAGCTCGTGTGTTCTGTAGGGTGCCTTTCTTGCAGGGGTAAGATACTGGTAGAAAGGTCACAAAGGAGAGAGAAGCAATGGCTTTTGTGGAAGGTTAATGTGTGGCAGGCCCTGCCAGTGCAGTGCTCTGCTCAGGTGTCCTGCAGTTGTGGCATCTGCATGACACGTGAACATCGTTCTGATCAGGGGGCTTCATCTGTCAGACTTGTTTTATTATGTTTGTTTAGTTGTGTTTAAGGCCAAGTAAATATTTCAGTTATTTGGTAGTTGTGGAGAACATTGGGTGATGTTTGAGGTCCAACCATGGTGTGGAACCACAGCCAGAGTGTGCATAAGGATGCTCACTGGAGCACCCCAGGTTAATCTGCATCTATTCCAAAATGTAAAGATCTTTTATGTCTTTTCTCTTTCTTTCCCTAAATGAGAGCAGCAAGAATAATTAAGACTTCTTGTGTGTGTTTCAGATTGTGCAGTGAATGTCCATAAGAACTGCAAGGGTTTGCTGGCTGAATGCAGCAGCATCAGAACCAAGGTGGGTTTTAAAATGTGTTTTGTTACCAATAACAGTGCTTGACAGTAAGACTGATCTGGTGGCAGTGTACTGAGTTATGTTAGTGCAGAATTAGTGCAGAATCCTGCCCTGCATCTTTAACAGACACTGACTAATCACCCACTTGTCATTATGGTTATTTATGTAAGTAGTGAAAAGTGAAACAATTCATTATTGTTCTGAAAGCTGACTTTGCTGGTGTCTGTCAGAGCTAGCATTTAAAAGAATGCTCAAAGCAATGTTGTTTTTTTTAACTATAATTGAATTATTTCATACCTCTGAATTTCATGTGACTGCACCTTACTGGGTTGTCCCACCTCAATGCAGAGGACAGAGTGAGGGGCACAGAGGAGTTTGGTTGTAACAGTTGCACATTGCTTATAAGCTGAGCAATGCGGAATAAGTGGTTTAATTTTCAACCTGTGATAAGCTTCTGTCTTGCCAGGCTGTCCAGGTTCTGTCTGTCACTGGGGTGCATGTGATTGCCTATGAACTCAGGGCTTGCTCTCAGATAGTATCTCTCACTTTTTTTTTTTTTTTTTTTTAATTCTGGTATTGGTTTCAAAAATCGTTTCCTCCTTCTTGTAACTGCTCAGACTCCAGGGCTTGGTTTGTTTGAACTTTGCAACTGTCAGTGATTTCAGAGCCTGATAGCAGCTTACGAGCACTATGAGAGGAAAAGAGCGTAACAGCTCAAATCTGGGCTGTTGGGGTTAGAGGAAATGTTGTCAGCCTTTAGTGATTTAGAGTGTAGGAACGTTCTTATGATGTTTTTGTGGGTTTATTTTAACATGTATATTTTCAAACCTTTCCAGGCCTTGTGCGTTTTCCTTTTAAACATAAAAATTCATGCTATCATTCTTTCATTCTTGAGTCGCCCCTTACAAATTGCTCCTGAAGAGAACAAAGAGGGAATGGTGGCACAAAATGATATGGAGAATGGAGCCAGGAGTGAAAAGCAAGACTCCCCAGAAGCCATTTGTTATAAACTCATTACTTAATTTTGTCTGTCTTTGCTAAATGGAGTCTCAGAGGACTGTAGTACCCAATGTGGTAAGGATGAGAAAGTTGTGCAGACAGCAAGGATGTTAGGCTTTGAACAGTCTTACTTTGGATGAAACCTGGCATTGGCTTGGGTTAGTGTTAGTTTAGTTAGTACTGCTTTATGCTAAACCACAGTGAAGTGTAGGTGGAGATTGTTTACCTGAAGGGTAAGGTGAAGGATTTTATGGATGTATTTCTTATGGTCATGGCTTTAATTCAGCTGTAACTTCACGTTTACTTCAGTTTGGTTTATAGTTGATGGAACTCTTACTATGGGATTCATGTCTGCATGCTGTTCTTCTGGAGCGTGGAGAAATCAGAGCTGTTATTGTGTCAAACTGTGTGGGGCCCTGCATGCAGCTTTGTTATATGCTAGGGAAAATCAGATTTATTTTGGACTGAAAGTTTGGGCTGTATGTGTAAGACTGTTGTCTTTTTTCCCATAGCAGAAAGATTTGCAGCACAGACCTTCTGGACCTGCACAAAGTTCGTCCCAGTGCATTTCCCCAGGTTTGTACTAAAGAGTGATTTCTGTGCTCAAGGCTCATCTGTTCAATTGTATTTTTTTCTCTAATATGTTTTAGAGGCTATACACAGTGTGTTATTGAAGTATAGAGAAGGTCTCTTTTAATAAGATGGCTTCATTTTTTTTCTGCTGGGAATGGCTGAGAGGCTCCTGGCAATCTCCTGTGTGTTTTTATCTCTTTATCTTTTTATTTTTCTTTATACCTTCTTGCTGTGTAACCTCAGAATATCATGGTGAAAGGGGATCGATAAGCTAGTTTCTCATTGATTGTCTATTCTCTGGCCTCTGAAAAGACTAGAACTGTGAACTTTGTTTTACATCAGATTTTCATAATTGTCTATTTAAAACTTGCCTGCAGCTAGTGGTTGCTAGAAACCTCTAAGCTGAGCCAGTGCTAATGGTCTGAACAGAAATCTTTGTTGAAATGAAGTGGGGAAAAGGGACCTGGGAGCACAAATGAGAAGCAAGAAGGGTCTGTTGCAGCATAGGCTTTGAAATGGGCTTTCTGCTGCTAGAGAAGACCATCGTAGCTGTCGTTGTGAGATTTAAATGGCATTTTAATTGGGAGAAGATACGGGATGTGCATTAACAGAATTGCTTCTCGGGTTCTCAGGTGACTTGCCATACCAGAACAGAATTATCTTCTGCTGTGCAGTCGGTCTGCTTTGATGGGCATAAGAAACACAATCGAGTTGAATGTCTGGGTATTACTCTGATTTCTGCAAATATATTTATTAGGTATCATTTGGCTTGAGTTTCAAGCAGTACTTCATGAAACAATTCTTACCAACAAGGGGAATGATTATTGTGAGAAGATGAGTGGTTGATTGCATGGTCAAAAATGGCTTTGTGCACTTAGGGAAAGGAGCAGAGACTAAAATAGGAAGCCAGGAGGAATAAAGAAAACAGGAGATGCTGGCTGTAGGGCTTCTGGTTGGAACAGCTCTGTGGTACACAGTCTGGTCTGATGCTGTAGGCTAGCAGCGATCGATATGGACTCTCAGCAGTGTGCAGACAGTGCTAATTGAACTCAGAAAATGGCTTTTTGTTGGTGCAGACTTTGCTAGGCAGCCACTGCTTGTTTTTTGTGGTCAGAAGCAGAAGATGGAAGTTAGAAGAGCAGCTGATAGCATAGGCTGTGCTGTTACCCACTGCAGGCTGCAGTGCCCAGCAAAAGAAGCCAGAGGTATGAGTGTAAAAGAGGAGCGTGTCGTAAAGATTCAAGTTGTGCCCTCCCCCATGTTTTCCTCAGGTGTTGAGATTTCACCTGCCGTTGTGAATTAAAGCTCTTCTGTTCTTGCCTTGGAAGCAAGGAAAGAGAACATGGTGGCTGATTTCAATACTTCGCCAAATGGAAATGGATCTCATCTGTTATTGAGGTCTTGTTCAAGAAATTCTCTTTGCCAATCCCACCAACATTCACTTATTTTGTTTAGTTGGGAGGATGGGCTTAAAGCTCTTTGCTTGGATGATGGATGGGGAAATAGATCTCAGTTTACTCGGTTTGTTGTAGGCTGAGAATGAGCTGTGTGCATGTGCAAACTATTTCAAACTCAACTGCCATTGGAAGAGCTGTTTCCAATGGGTAAAGCTGCAGTGTCGTTTGCATTACATGTTATTGATGAAACCTTCTCTGAAGCTCTCCTGACATTCCAGTCAACTGTTTCAAGGAGAGTGAGATCACAGAGCTGGGGTGGAGAGCAGGGATATGAAGAAATGTGGAAAAACCTGTTTTATGAATAGAAATGGGAATGCCTTGATTGTCCTGTGTTGGGCTGAGGAAAACAAGTGTGAGGGGAGAGGGATCTTCAGCAGGGGTGCAGACCAAGGAGAGGGGGCTTTGGGGGCTGAACAGGCCAGAAGGAAAGTTGTAGATTGGTGTTGGTGGGCATAGGCTGGGGTTGAAGGCGCTCTTGAACTGCTACAGCGTGGCATGGAGGTCAGTCTGACTGCTAAGACAGCCTGCATCCAGGGCCTCCAAGGTGAGAATTCTTCCACTGCCATGTCCTTAAAAGCACTCTGAGGACAGACCTTGCCAGTGAGAAGGTTTGAGGATTGTCTGATTCCTCATCCTCAACTTCCCTGAAGTTCCTTTTATAAAAGGACATCTTTTGTCTCCTGTTTCGTATCGTTCGTTGCAGACATTAGTACTAAATAGTTGTATCCAATTTTCATAAGTCTATTACAGGCTTCATGTATTGTATAACAGTGATTAAAGTTTTAAATGTCTTTCCAGTTCGTAGTCTGTCCAGATTTAAAAAGCATTAAAAATCTGCAGTATGAAAATTAAATTTAGCTCTGGTGTCTCTTGCGCTCAGCGCGCAGATAGAAATGGCTGAGCAGCAATAAGCATTGCAGAGAACTTGTGGTTTTCTGTGATCTCAGATTTTTCTTGTTTGCCATGAAATGTTCTGTGCCCTTATTCAGTAGGGTGTGAATAATGGTGTGTAGGTTCTGGTGTTTTACTAAAGGAGAAGATACTTTGCAATTTCCACACTAAATGGGCACAGTAGGGACCAATTTCCTGCACTTCAGACCTGCTGATTTAGCCAATACAGTAAGTTAAGTGACAGCTTTACATTTCTAGAAGGATCACAGGTAGTATAAAAACAGTGCATCTCTGGGGCCACTTTACTGTGCCAGGTCTGAGGGCAGCCAGGAGTGAGCATGGGGAATACAAATTCAAAAAGCAGCGGCAGAAGCCATGCGATCCCGGCTGCTCCCGAGCTGTCTTTCTGTGGCTCCTTCTCGAGAAAATGGAATGAAAATGTCTTTTTGGACAACGAGCTTCTGACATCCAAGATCCTGTCCGTTCTCCGTCCGCATTCAGAGAGAGGTTTGAGAGCGGGCGACCTGCAGTGTGCGCCTCACTTTCTGAGCACCAATTCGCTTCTTGCCTCGCTAGCAGCTTCCCTGAAGGAGCAGCCCCAGCCCCGGAGCCTTCTCCTGGGGCCTGATGGCACCCCAGCGCTGCCGCGGAGCCTCGGCATGACTATCGCCCAGAGGGGAAATCCTCCGTCTGCGCTGAGTACTGCAGGAGCCGCCGGCAAGTTGGGGTGAGTGAACTACTTCTCCTTCACTGGCTTCTGCTGCCGCCCCCTCCCCCATCCGAAAAGAAAACCAATTAAAAATAAAACGAGGCTCACGTTTTAGAGCTTGAGAGATGATCGTTGGGCGCTTAATGCTGAATTCTGTTGTTTAAAATAACAGTCTATCTTTAGTCCCTCTGTGCTGTGTCACAAAGATGTACTGTAAGGCAGTGGAGTGATTGAGTATTCCTGCCTGGAGCATGGTTTGAATGGGCGTATTTCTCTTCAGACTTGCTGAAATTCAAGGATCTTTTCTGAGATCACTTATGCTGGGCTGTGCTGGTTCTGACTCGTGTGGAAGGACAGTGCTTTAAATTGCAGGATACCTGGGTTAAAATAGTGGACGAGTTCAAAGCTGTCTGCTGGTTTGTGTGGTTGTGCACCTCTTGTATACCACAGTTCTGCTCCGTCCTCGCTGAAACTGCCCTTTGTACTCTGAAATGGCTGTGGTTTGTCAGCAGGTGATGTGCTGTTGTTTTTTATGGCAGACTAGAAGTTGCATCCTTGCTCTTGCTGCTCTAATTAAATCTGCATTGTGTCACTGATCAATGTGCTACACTTATTTGTCTGTGTAAACTGCGAGTGCAGCGGTAGCTTTTGTGTTTTTTTAACTTCATTGCTTTATAGGAAAGCTGCTTGTTGAAGTAGTTGGCTTTTATTTATTGATTTAAGTAGAAAAACTTTTAAAAAATATGAATGTTCTGTCTGGGTCCCTCATTCTAATTTCTTTGGCCGCTTAGATTAATTTCAGGAGACATGGATGAAGGGGATTCAGGATTTATAAAGTTTAAGCAGACCTCAGATGATGTTGTCTCACTTGCACCTTCAACAGCAGACTGCATTTTTCTGGAAGGTACGGAAGCTTCTGTGTTTTCCAGCACTTTTGGACGAGTAGGAAACTGCATACAGTGCATCTTGAGATGTATTTACCCTTGCTGGTGGTAACGAAGGATAAGGATTAATTGTTGAAATTAATGTGCTTTTGGTCTAGATGCGTATTCTCTGTCCCTCCGAAGTGAATTAGAAACAGACGCTCATGAGTTTGAGGCAGAGTCCTGGAGCGTTGCAGTGGAACAGTCTTATGCAAAGAAGCAAAAGAAAGAAGTTGTAAAAAGGCAGGATGTCATTTATGGTAAGAGCACTGTGAATTCTTTAGAACTTTGTTTTATAGTGTCACTGTTCTGAAACAACAGAAATGGTTGTTTTTATGAGCTTCCAGTTTGGCTGGTGCTTGGAAACTGAAACTGAATACAAACTTTCAAGTCTGTTATTTATCTCAGTGTGCCCAAGTCCTCCTCATAACGATTTTAAGCAACCCGTATTTATCTTTCTGCCTGTGTAAGCAGCAAACCTAGCTGTGCAATTAGGAAATATCCTAAGCTCAACTTCTACTGGGAGGTGATATTAAACAAGCAGGGTCATTCTTGGTCACTGTTTGATTGAGAGATTAGCAGGGCAAATTCAGGTGCTTTAATTGTGGTTATGTTCTTTCCTTGATAGTGATGTAATACCTTAGAAGAAGTTTATGGACAGCTTCAGAGTAGCTGGCTTCTAGCAAGATCTAGAATGGTACAAAGTATGGCTGGAAGGAGACGAGATGTCACATAGTCTTCACTGACAGTGTCTGCTGTTGTATAATCAGCTGTACCCAGACTTCAGATGTTCGTTCTCCCTGCTAATAAACATCTCTGAAAAATGCTGCAATATTAAGCTCTCTGATTGATAAGGGAAGTTGTTCCTGATATTTGATATAAAGCTGCTTTTGCTGCAGTTTAAGAATATCACCTCTCGTTTCTCTTGTCCTATCTGTCGCCCCTGATACCAGAAGCAGTTGAGGGTTGTTTTTCTAGCTATTGTTACTTGGTTAGTAGCTTTGGTCCCTTGCAGAAGATGCTGACTTTCAGAGACTGCTCTCTTCTCACTGGTCACGGCACACCGCATAAATGAGCACTGATTTTTATTTCCCCTTACCCAGAACTAATGCAGACTGAAATGCACCACGTCAGAACACTGAAAATAATGCTGAAGGTGTACTCCAAAGCCATGAAAGAGGAACTGCAGTTCTCAAATGCAGTCATCAACAAGCTGTTCCCCTGTGTGGATGAGCTGCTGGAGATGCATGGGCAATTCCTGCTCCAGTTAAAGGAGCGGCGAAAGGAGTCCTTGGAAGAAGGCAGTGACCGAAATTACATGATCCAGAACATTGGGGACCTCTTGGTAAAACAGGTGTGAGACTGTGCCAGATTTCTTGATGCTATGAAGCACCTAAAAAGCTAATTATAAGAGAAATACATGGCTGTGTAGAAGTTGAGAGAAGGCTGGGTTTAAGAGCATCGTCCGTATGTGTGAATGTGGCTGCCAGGAGCACGTCTGGTCAAAATGAGGTGTCAGTGGGTGCTGTTTAGGCACACGTGTGCTCGTTGTGTGGTATGCAGTGATTTGGTCTTATCTTTGTGTGCTGAAGGTACAGCAATGTGCTGATGGTGTCCTTCCCAAATACAGCTGTTATGCACTTCATGCTGAGCTTCTTGGTTCTGACCATTTAATTTTTTTTTACTAATGACAGCTGCTTTTAAGTTCAGTGCCTGCTCTGTTAATGAGTGGATGCAGCAATTTCTTTTTGTGTACTGTGGCCGTTTTTGTTGTTGTTGTTCTTCACCTTTTACAATCCTTGGTCTTTAAGCGCAGAAGCTCAGAAATCCTCTTAAAAACTTGCATTAAGACAGCAGTCAGTTAATACTTGTTTAAGCTCTCAATTTCTTCTGTAACAGAAATAAGAAATGTTGAAATGCTGTCTCAGGATTCAGTGAATGTAAAACTATGTTAAACGTGGGTCTTGGGGTGCTTGTAGGTTAATGATTCATGTGTTTAATACTTATTTCTCATTTAGTTCTCAGGTGAAAATGGAGAGAGAATGAAAGAAAAATACGGTGTGTTCTGTTCTGGACACAATGAAGCTGTTAGTCACTATAAGGACCTGCTCCAAAGCCACAAGAAGTTCCAAAACTTAATAAAGGTAAACAGCAATCAGAAGCCTCCCATTATTACTGTGCAAAGTATGCTTGAACTCTTTCAGTTCTATTTTATACTTGAAGATATCTTAATTTTGAATGAGCAGGTATTAAGAGGTATCTTCTCACTGTTTGATAGCTTGTTTGCTGCTTGCATTCTAAATTTGTTGAGCTGTTTGGGGTGGGCAGGTATTTTTTTTCTTGAGCACCCAGTTCTGGGAAGTAGAGCATTTGTTCTATTCATGGCTTCATCCGTGACTGCCGTGCTGTGTGGCCATCTACGTAAATTGGCTTGATGATAAATACTGTTGATAAAAATACCATAGGAAAACCAGGAACTCTTAATTTAGTTTTGCCCACTACATCATCTTTCCAAAACCAGAACATTGGCTCCAGGGCAGTTTGTTGATCTGCTGTACAGTGTAATGCACAATTAATAGGACGGGCACAAGAAGCACAGCCAAACTGGAAGCCTGTAACCTGAATCTTAGCTGGCACTGCACAGCCCCTGGTGTTCTCGTGTTCCAGTCATTAGTAAGTGATACTGTGTGAACTTTCCAGCACGATTTTGTGGTTATAGCTCTTCTTAACTAGGTGCCTTGAAAGAGAAAGGCTTTCTCTTCTAAAGAAACTAAACCAGTAAGCAGAGTTTTAAAACAAATGGCCTTTGTTGTAAAGAAAGATCTGGGTGCTGTATTCAGCCCCCAGCAGTGCTTTGTTCCTGCAGTCAGGCCAGCTGGTGGCATTTTGGTGCTTTAGTCTTCTATTTCTAAGCAGGAAAGCATTTCTGTGCACCAGCATCCTTATGATCGTGCAGTGGTAAAATAAACACTAATTCATAATTGATATAATTTGGCTGTTGGTTGGGTTTGGTTTTAAAATTATTATGCTTTCCTATGTAGTTAAGGACTGGTCCATTACAGAAGGCATTCAGTTAGCAAACAGTTCAGATTCAGTTAAAAGTAGTTGAAAATGATAACGAAAATGTTTTTTTTTTTTTCTAGTAATAAAGGCATTTTTTGATGTTATCAGGAGTTTTGCTTTTGTAACAGAGCACAGCTCATCTTGTGGTGCTAAACTTAATTTTGTAAATGTGTAAATGGAAAAGGGAGGGAGTTAAAAACAAAATATAAATGGGTGACAGAAGAATGTGTCTTGTTTTCTAGAAAATTGGCAACTGTTCCATTGTGAGGAGACTTGGTGTCCAGGAGTGCATCCTTCTGGTTACGCAGCGCATCACCAAATACCCGGTCCTGGTGGAACGCATTATTCAGAATACAGAAGGTAGTTTGCTTGATCTTTCCTAGGAGCCTGACAGTTCTCATCCTGTCTCTCTATTCCCCGTGTTCTTTCCTCAGATGAGGAGAACAGGCTTATAGCTGCCTTATAGCAGCTTTCTTACTTCCTAGTTAGCTGGAGATGCAGTTCTAGATGCAGATTCACGTCAGTCTTGCTTCGTCAGAGGATCAGAAGCAACACTGAGCTTCAAGTTCAGGGGCACAGCATTGTAGCAGCTAAGCCTAGCAGTTCATTAAAGATGCAGAGCGAAAGGAATTAACTTATTTATAGACTCAAGCTCTTGAGAAATACTGTCAAATGCTCAGTCAGGAACCTTCGTGTTAAAACGTTTGATTGATTCATAATTGCATTCCTAATTGCTGTTCTTTTCTCTTAGTTGGAACTAAGGATTATGAAGATCTGAACCATGCCCTTAATTTAATTAAGTATACGATCACTCATGTAGATGCCATAGTAAATGAGTGTGAGAAGGGGCAGCGCCTTAAAGAGATTATGCATAAAATGGAGCTGAAATCATCTGGGAAGTGCAAGAATGGGCTTTTCTTCCGTAAGGATGACATGGGACAGAGGAGGCTTCTGCTGGATGGGATGCTGTACTGGAAGGCTGCGTCAGGACGGCTCAAAGGTGAAGGACCAGGAATGGGAGAAGTACAACGAGATTTGTCTTTGTTCTGTAACTGCTTATTAGTGATTGATGGAGCATAAAGGATGACAATAACCCAATTATTTAATAGGATGTTGGAGGCAATAGATCTTGTTCTATTCCTGGCTTGTCCAATAAGCATCTCTGTAATGGTGCACAATAAGTTCCTTATGCTGTTTGCTTATTATCTGTCTGATCTGCTTTCCAATTCAAGAGGGAGGCCTTCAGGTAAATGACGAAGCTTTGAGTCATATTGACTTCTGTCCTGTGGAAAGGCACTGTACTGGGCAAGCTCTTGGCTCATGCTTGGAGAAATTGTCAAACCTGTTGACACCTTTATTCTGCAGAATGTCTGTTTATCCAGAAAATCAAAACCACGTTCATCAGTGAACGTTTTAACAGCTTCATTGTTCAGCTGTTCCGAGAAAAGCTTCAGGTGTAGTGAAGCCAAGAGAAGCTGGTGCTGTGAACATCTGCAGATTCAGAACGGTCTGCCATTGAGGGAGATACGTTCAGTCATGACCACTGGAGTCCAGATGTAGTGTGCCTCTGTGGGTGCTTTCAAGCTTTGGATTGGCTCTATTTGTATTCTGCTGGCTCTGCATGTGTGCAGGCTGTGCCTGGAAGCTTCAGTGTTTTGAGTCTGTGCCGGTTTCTTTGAATCAAAGTCTTTTTTTCTTTTGTTACTGTAGATGTTTTGGCAGTCCTGCTAAACGATGTACTGCTGCTCTTACAAGAAAAGGACCAAAAATACGTGTTTGTATCAGTGGTAGGTATTGGTCATCTTATTTAATGTGTTTACTTAGAATATTTATGAGCGTAATGACAGAAAAAATACAAATAGAAATGTTAGTTGTTATGCTGGCCTCACATGCAGTTGATAAACAAGCCAGTGGTTCAGTGCTTCTCCTTTGTGCTGTGACTTTGCCTTTCACTGAGCTTTGTTAGGCTGCTTTAAAAGGCACTTGCAAATAAGATCTGCTTCTGTGTATCAGTTTGAAGGGGAAAACGATCTTCCATTTCGGCTTGGTGTGTGGTGCAATAGCCAATGACTTGCTGTGGGCAGAGAATTTTCCTGAAGGAAACATAGCAAAAGCATTACATGCTGGTGTAATTACTACAGCAGTGCACAATGCTCAGTGGATTTGCTTGCTTTTCTGGGGCATTTCCACAGGTGTACTCAGAGCAGTTGATTGTGTATACTTTGTCCTTTTCCAGTTCAGTTATGACTGTAATAGAGCAGTCCAGGTATCACTCCTCCACAGATAAATGCAGCAAGTGAGAGGAGCAGATGGATCGGTTTTACAGATCCATTTCCTTAATTTCACTGTAGATTATGGTGGAGCAGCTGCAAAGAAGCATTCTCTTCTGAAAACCTTCCTAGGTTACAAATATTGGAGCTTTGCTTTAATTTTCAGTCAAGTAGCAAGAGCTCTTATTTTTGAAGTGTGCAGTCTGTGTTGTGTGTTTTGATTTATGGTGAGTGAAGAGTGACAAGTGTCAGAAGTGCCACCATAGCAGAAAGAAAAGTACTGCGTTGCTGTGTTGTGGCTGTGTAGCCCTGTGCAGTGGGAAGATGGAGGGCAGTTAGAAGCACAAACTCTAAGAAATGTGTATAATACAGTGCAATAAATAACATTCTCTTTTATAGGATTCTAAGCCACCAGTTATCTCACTGCAAAAGCTGATTGTAAGAGAGGTAGCTAATGAGGAAAAGGCGATGTTCTTAATTAGTGCTTCCCTAGAAGGACCGGAGATGTATGAAATTCACACAGGCTCAAAAGAAGAGAGGAATTCCTGGATGGCTCACATCCGCAGAGCTGTAGAAAGGTAAATAATGACTGCAGGCTGGAAGGCTTCATCTGCCACTCATCAGCCTTCCCTTCCCAGGGCTCGGATGTGTCAGTTTATCATTAAAAAATACTCCCAGCTGTTTGTAAACTTCCTTTGTAAGACTGAAGCAGCTGCTTGGTGCACGTTTACTGGACAGAAGCTGCTCGAAAAGATGCTGGAACAAATAGCCTTAAGACTTCATTTTGCTTTTTTTTTTTTAACTTGGTTCACTGATGTCAAAAGGGATGAGAGAAAAATATTGATACACGAGATAAAACGACACCCTAGGCAGAAGCTTCAGGCCGAATGCTGAGATGATTTTAAATTACCTAATGTGTAAGTGAAACAAATTTGTCTCTCACTTCTTACAGCTGTCCTGATGAAGAAGGAGGATCATTTTGTGAACCTGAAGCAGAAAGGAGACTGGCTGAAGCAAGAGCAGCGAAATTAAGAGAATTCCAAGGTAATGACTTCGATATCTATTCCATGGGCAGCTTCTCAGCATCTCTTGTGATTTATGGCTATCTTGTTATTAAGTGTGACCAAGTTTCTCCTGAAATTTTTTCAGGTATTGCAGGGTTGCATAGAAATAGTTTAAGAAAAGAACTATTAATGTCTGAGTGCTTTGTGAGGTGTTCTGTTGTTGTTTTCCCCGACTGTTGATTGCATCTCTGACTATGGAACGAATTATAAGCTTCCAAACTGAATGTTGTACTCCTAACAGCAATTTGGAAGGGAAAACTGAGTTTGTTTCTTCCATTAGAGCGCTTGAACATAAAAGATGACCTGATTGTGCAAAGTCTAACTGAGAAACAACAAATTTATCAAGAAATGTCTGAACTGTATGGATTTGAAGACCATTCCCAAGGATCCCAGTCTAGGCTGCTACTTCTGGGGGATATCCCAGAAAGTCTGCAAGGAGAGGCACTTCTGAAGTCTGCAGTGGTAGAAGGTAAGTGCAGCAGGGAAACTGTGTTCACTGCAGTGCAGGTGTTGGGATAAGCAGGTAGGACCCAAGTACAAGTCACAAAAATGGTCTTCTAATAATTCTGTGTAATGCAATTCAGACTCAAAACCAGCCTGCAGGATAGGCAGAATGCAGCTGTGTTTTTAGGTGGAGGACCTCAGCTTTGTGGGTTTTTTATTTCTTAATTGTGTTTTCTTTTTAATGATCAACCTGTGGAATCTTCAAACGAATCTATTCAGATGGATCACAAGGCAGCCTAATAATAACCCAACTCTGAAATATAATCACAAGTGTTCTAGCTTAAAATAACCTGTCTGAAAATAGCATAATTAGACACAAACATCATTTTTAGTTTGACAAAAAAAGCATTCAAGGCTTGATAATCTGAGCTCAAGGAAGAGGTCAGCTTCATTTGCAATATGAAGAGCCTGTCATAAAGAACATGTCACAGAAAATGAGGAAATCTCTGAAACTGCCCCATCTTTTAATGTACAGAGAGGTTGAAATTATATGTGTATCTAAGTTGTTAGCATGATGAGTTTCTCACTGTTGGATACAGCTGTTTAAATGACATTCTCTTCCTTCCTAGCTGAAAATCTCCAGAACCTTATCTTCACTCACTTAGGAAATGGATCCTGTCAGTCTGAAGGGAGCTGTGCAGTGGGGCTCCCCAGGAGAGCAGAGACCTTTGGGGGATATGAGAGTGCCTCCATTTCAAATAAAAGTAAGAAAGGGGAGCTGTGGGGAACCTGTGCCTGTTTGCTGCTATGCTCTTTTAGAAGTGTAGCATTTATGTAAGCTGCTTGGCTCTTCACTATCTTCTCTGTAGTGACTGTGAGATAATATGTCTTGCATCAGAGCCCCATTTAATATGTAGTTCTTAAGGGAACTGGGGGCTCTGAGAAGACGATCAGAATAAATTCCTAGCATGCTGTATCAGCATGTTCTGTTTTGCTCCCTGTATCAACACTAGAGAGCAGAGTAGGGCTGTTGGTGTGACGTTAAAGGTGCAGTAACTAGGATGTGCAGGTTAAGGTAACAGCTCCACATAGAACTGCAGTTTTGTTGGAAAAACAAGCCTGACATAAAAACCTAGGAGACTTGAGTTCAGCTGCTTGCTGAACATTGAATTTTTTTCATTGTTGTGTTATGCAGTGGGTGTCCACAGGCTCTGTCCTGGTGGGCCGCTCACATACTGCTCTTCTTTCAGATAACAGTCTTGAGAAGAACAGTGGTGGTGACCAGAGGCAGTGGGACTGTAGAGGCCCTGCCGTCAGCTCAGATGTGCAGCTCCCAGAGCTCCCATTCGATGCAGAAGAAGGATCTCAAACTGTGTGTTGGGTTTGTGTGTGCAGTGAACGCGTTTCCTGGTTTGTTGCTGTAACAGTGCTTAATAACTTCCTGCTTGAGAGGCATCACAGTTGTTCTGTTCACTGGATGCAGTATCTTTAATGCTAACTGTAATGACCGTGTATCTGCTTATGGCCTGTGATTCAAGTACTCTTGGTATCCATCAGCATATGGGAGCAATCACTGCTCCAGCTATAAACAGTGTTCCCTTGTGAGGTGAACCCTTTCAATATGTCCTGGCAGCACCATCAGTGCCCAGAAAGCACAGATTGTTCTTTTTGTCTTTTTCCAGAGCAATGCAACGAGGCAGGATGACAGCAGTGGTGTTCAGCCCACCGTAGAGTCTCAGGTACCTTCCTTCTGCTGTTAAGAACTCTGATGGGAAATAGCCACACAGTAATACAATGCAAAACAAGCCAATATTTCCAATGTCTGCAGAACCACGAGCTCACTAACAGCCTTTTCCTTACGACTCTGTATGTCCTGTGGGTGACTCATGAGAGTCCCAGTAGAAAACAAAGACGGTTCTGGGTATTCAAACATGCATTTCAGAGAGCTGGCTAGCTGCTTTTCTTGATCTTTGGAGAGATTGATGTCCTCAGCTCTTTGCAACACTTGTCTCTTAATCTGCAGTGAGTGCTGTACTTATGTAATGATTCAGTGCTGGAGGAAGTGGTCATTAATGGCTCATGTGAGGAAAACTGATAATGAGGATTGCTCCCTTGAATCCCAGTAAGATTTCTTTCGAGTATTGACTTAGTATGTTAGTCTGTGCACAGATCTGGGATTTGTGGTGCTTGCACATGGCTTTACTGGTTGCTCATTTGTCAGAATCTGCTCGCAGCCGTGGTTCCACTGTGTGGTTTTATACAGATATTATTGATTGTGTTCATTATTTTAATAGGTGAAATGAAAAATAAAATCTGCATCAGAACAGAACTGTGTTATGGTGCCTAATGTTTTTTATCACACTTGCCTCCCCTCTTTTTCAGCTTGTGCAAAGGATACAAACGCTGCTGCAGTTGCTCTTCAGTCTTCAGGTAATCAACTGCTTTACGTCCAAGAGGTTTGTTAGGTATTAACTGCAGAACTCAGCATCTGGGGCTCAAGGACAAAAATGTGGTGTCTGCTATTGAAAGAAATGTTGAACCCATTGGCTCAATCCTGACAACTCATTGACTGAATCCTTTTCTCTGCTCCCTTACATGCAGTTCCTTGGCTAGTTGGAGCCTCTGCTCTCTGTGCTCATTTAAAGTTGTTGTTGGTACACAGTTGTGTACATATCTTTTGTTTTTACTGTAACTTTGTAATCAGTAACTTGAGTGATCCTGTCAAATTCAGAGTAACAATTCTAGGTGCAGGAGATGCTAATTCTGACATGTAAGCACAACTTGCACGTGCTTCTTTAGCATTGTGTCAGTAGTGATGTGCTGTGCAAGCTGGGAGGTTAGATCTGTTCTTGAAGACAAAGCTACTGACCCCATATGGGAGATGCTTCTGTCTTGTCTTAGCTGTATGTCAGAGTTTGGCTTTGTTTCTCTGAGCCAATGTGCCTTATTGTAGTTGCCTTGTTCCCCCAGGCAGTGATATCTCAACAGGACAGCTACATTGAGCTGCAGCGAGCCACAATGGTGGACAGGGAGAAGCAGTACCGGCTGCAGTCCACACGTGGCAACCTGCTGCTGGAGCAAGAGAAACAGCGGAACTTTGAGAAACAGAGGGAAGAACTGATGAGTGTCCAAAGACTTCAGAGCCAGCTGAAGCTGGAGCAGCAGCGCTGGGAGCGGGAGAGGAGCCAGCAGCAGAGGGAGCTGGAAATGTCGGAAGCCCATCTGCAGAGGCGTGAGGAGGAGACGCGGCAACTGAAAGAGAAGTTGATTCAGGATAGGGAAGAGCTGGAGAGGCAACGTGAGGCCTATCAGCATGACCTGGAGAGGCTGCGGGAGGCTCAGAGAGCAGTTGAGAAGGAGAGAGAGCGTCTAGACCAGCTAAGGAAGCTGAAGAAGCAGAACACCGTGTCGGGCAGCTTCTCCCCAGAACTGGGACAAGTAAGGAATTTGGGTTTTTATTGGAGTTCCAGTTTTGTTAACCTGCATGCTTCTGAGTGAAGGTTGCCCTTCTTGCAGCATTAACACACTTGTTTTGTTTGATGGGGCTATTTGTGCCATCACCTGAAATAGCTGGTTCTGCTTATGGTCACAGATTACAGCTTGGCAGCACCCCAGTGTCTGAAATTCTGCCCAGACCTTTGGTAATGAGGGTATCTTTAAAAAATAAAAAATCTAAAATAGCATTTTTTTAATGCAGGAACTGACCTATTTCAGGCAGCTGATTGCAGGAGGTGCACTGCATTGGTAGTGTTGTGTTCTGTTGATTTCTGAAAACATCTTTTATGTTTCAAAACATGATTTTGGGGGTCCAGTTGAATTGACTCACTTGCTACTGCCTGAAAGTCACTTTTTCTGTCCTTTCTGTAATCACCACGTGCAGCCTGCTCTTCTTTCCCATTGTTAGATGCAATATCCAGCAGTCTGCAGTTGCTGAAGCTCTGTCTGTTATCCTTGGTTTGCCAGCATGCTTTGAGCTCGGTTAGCACACTGCATTTTTTCCTCGAAGAAGCACTTTGTGTTTGCAGGGCAGAAGGTGGCTTCTCCTCTAGTTTGACTCAGGATGCTTTTTTTTCCCCTTGTGTAGAACCCGATGCAAAGTCACGCTGTTAGCTTCAACGGAGAAGGAGGAGAACCATCTCCGCCGGTCCTGAAAGCCTCTGCGCGTGTGAGTGTCTGTGGCATGGATTACTTGGAGCGCTCAGAGCTGCTGCGCAGGGACAGCACCGCCCTGGAGGGCCGCCCGGCCCTGGCTCTGAAGAACGAGGTGCCCATCCACCTGCTGAGCGCCACCAACCAGATACAGAAACCTGCTGCAGTGCAGCAGCAGATCCCCACCAAGCTCGCCGCTTTTACGAAAGGAAGCAAAGAGAAAAGTGGGAAGGGCAAAGCGTCTCATAGGACGGACAGCTCGGGTAAGTGCCTTCAAATGCGTTTCTGGCCTCTTATGGCATCGTGGGGATTCAGGGTGCTGTAGCTTAGACCTGTGTGGATCTCAGAAATTAATGTGCTGCAGATTGTTAGCGTGCTACCTGCAGTGGGTGGGCTCTTAAAATTCTTAAGGGTGAAGTGTGTGTAGTGTTTGAACTGGAAATTTAGCCCCCAAAGTTCGTGTTGGAAATAGTGCTGTAGGCCAGCAGGGCAGAATTATGGTGAAACTGGATATAAAACCTTGCCTGATTCTAGTGGTAAAGGAAAACAGCGAGTGTGCTGCTTGTTCTGCATGAGAGAAACATTTTGAGGCTGTCCTAACCTCTTCTCAGTATCTGTTCAGGGCTGTGATGACATTAAACTTAGTGCCTTTCTGAGCACCAGCCATCATTAAATACAGATTTCCAGGCCAGAGCTGAAGTGCTGTAGGTGTTGCAGTGTCGAAAGGAGCTGCTGCTGTCAGAAATAGAAGCAAGTAAAAACACAGTTACCCTGTCATGGTGTAATTTCTACAGCTAACCACTAGGTACTGAAGCAGTGATCTTTGCCAGTAGCACACACCATAAAAACCACTTTTTCTGTACCACTTAAAATAGCCTTACTGCCAGCCTGGAAGAATGGCCTGTAATTTTAAGTTACAGAATTATCTCTTCAGCTCTATATAGGATTCCAAGCTGGCAAGTTTACACATCACTGGGGCCTGTGCTGCTGTAACAGATTCAGAGCCAGACCTGGCCAGGGAGTGGGGTTCTGTTGCATGTAGCAGAAGCATCTGTCCCTGCACCTGAAGTTTAACATGATTATGAACTCCTCTTTTCACATGTAAGAGGACATCAGGCTTCAATTATCACGAATACAAAATACTGACAAATGGGAAAATAGAGCTCTAATACTGCATCTCTCCAGCTTAATCTTTAATAGCTCTCTCTTAATGGTCTGTGGTGTGGAAAAACCATTTTTGGGTGAACACCATTAAGTTCATGAAAGGCCTAAAATGCAGATGCAGTGCTCTCTGCTCTCTCAAAAGCATTGGTGGGTTGCATGCTTGTTATGCCCACATGTAGATCTTAGAATAAAACAGAACAAGACTTTCTGTACTAGAGGCAAGATACCAAGTATCAAATTTGGTTTCCATTGCCATAAGGAATTTGTGCTGAGAGCTGTGTGGGACCAGAGTAACCATTTCATGAGTTGCTTTCATTGTAGAAACTAAGAAATGGACAGGCTGTAACACCACAATCAGTGCACTCTGCTGCTGAGCAATTCAAAGACAGATGAAGAGCAGAGACAAAAGTTCATCACAGTTCTGTGCACTAAAAGTAGGAAACTTCCATTGCTAATTGAGTGCTGGGGACAGATCTTCATTTTCCCTCCACAAGACTTTGTGGTACTGGATGTTAAGTCTGGATGTCAGGCTGGTAGTGACTGAACTGGAATCCTCAGGGGAGTGGGGAGGAGAAGCACTCATGGTTTAAACAGCTGAAAAGAAAACTGAAGTATCTTGTAGTAGAAGCAACAGCTCTTTTTGGGATAGCAGCTTCCTTGGATATGCAGAGGCTGTCTGCAGTGTGGGTCTCAGCTTGAAGAGGGGAAATCAGTCAAGTACTCCAGCACTGATTTGTGAAATATTTTCTGCAGCATCTGTGGACCAGAAGCAGCTGATTCCCCCCAGGCTGGTCAGCAGAGAGGAGGCTGTCCTCAGGGGCAGGCGATCAGCAAGCCCAGTCCTCACGAGCAGCCAGAGCACTGCGTTCCAGACAGGTATTTCTTGGCCCTCGTGCATGAGATGTGCCAGGAGCTCTGTGCAGTGCCAGCAGTCTGTCTTCCTTTTCTCTCTTCCCCTGCAGAAATACATGGCTCTGCAGATGGTCAGCCAGAAGCACTTTCCTCTGCCTCCCCAAACCTGTTCAAACCCAGTACTGCTCACGCTCAGACCCTGGTGACCTCACAGCCAACTCTTTTAAACATGCAAGATGATACCAGCAAAGAAGATGTAATTTTTTTCTAACTGTTTCCATTTAAAGATGACTCTTCTCACGTACTGTTTCAAGAACTCAGGCTCCGGTGTTCAATGTGACAGAGACTCGACATGGGTGTCTTTTTATTCCTGCCTCATTAATACTAGCAAGGACCAGCCCAGCGTTGTAGTTTTGCTTTGCTGGCTTCTTTGCCAGCAGCTCAAAATGAGGGCACAATGGTAATGATTTGCTTTTAAATTCTCAGACCATGGAAACGTGTTGATGCGTGGCATGGGTATGTAAGTTCAGAGCATGGTAAGATGCTGCCATTTACTGCAATTTGCTCTCTTCGGTGTATTTACACTCTTTGTGAGCACCATCTTGTAAATTGTTGTGGTTGATGTTGAATCTTTCAGATCTGTATGTAAAGATTTTAATTGTAAGCCTCCAGATGGCTGAGATTTTTTAAAATCCATATTCCCAGGTGCAAGGTTGCTCTCGTGGGTTAAGCCAACTCTCTGTTAAGTAGCTGAGTAGCAAAGCAGTCTCTGTGGAGCCACACGTGATGAACGTTGTGATACCAACTCACAGAGGCCAGGCTGGCATCTGTTTCTTTACTTGCCCCGGTGGAGTTGCACACTCAGTGGTAGGAAAGGCAAGGTAAGCTTCTGAACAGCCTTCAGGGTTCAAGAGCTCCACCTGCTTGTGGATGAGGAGAGCTGGACGTGTGAGAGCACAGCAGAATGAAGAGTTGGACTAAATGCAAATGTTGGGCCGTCAGCCTGTGCCAGGACATCAGGCAGCTCTCCATGTCAGTGGGGGCAGTACAGATTCCTCAGCAGAACTATGAATTGGTTCAGAAGGAACTGCAGAGATGTTCCTTGCTGGAAGGTGTGTAAGAAGTGTTTGAACGCAGTAACTGTTTTGTTTCATCCCAAGTCTTCTGCATCTTTTGTTTGTCTGCTGAATTCCTTGGACTTTACTCCAAATACCATAAGATAACAAAGCTGCTGTTACTGCAGAGATTTCTCTGCAGCAGTTTAAGAAATGAAGGGAATATAAACTGTTTGGGTTTCAAAAAAGAACAAGTGCTATTAGCTGAACCTCTTGGTTTGGCTGCTTACAGCTGAACCAGCTTTTGATACCTCTTGTGAAATGGGTCAGTTCTTAATCTTGGAATGGTAGCGTTAACAGAGCCCTGCTCAAAAGGCATTATTTCTTTGTAGGAGTTTGCACAGTCATTTGTGTTCTGTCACTTTACTCTGCATCTCAGTTCTTCGTTACTTCATTACCTGAGGACACGTATTGCAGTGTGTCCACATGTATTGCACACAGGGGAAATGGTTTAGAGGGGTTTAGTACAGGATTACAGAAACTGCTCTCAGAGCCTAAAAGCACAGGTTAACATCTTCCTGGTGTCACCAGACTGCTGATACCCCACTGCCCCAACTAATTGTTCCTGCTAACGAGGGCATGCCTTGCCTTGGTTCTGAAGTGGTGCTTGGTGAGAGCTGAGCCTTGCAGAGCTTCACACGTTGCTCATGTTGGATTTGCAGAAAACTGCATGGCAACGTAATCATCCTTCCATTGCTGTAATGCTGTTTGATGGTTAGAACATGCTAACGTTGTTTTTGCATTCCTGAAACCTGGGTTGAAACAGTGGGAATATCTTCAAGTCAGTGTAACCTGCCACTGATTCAGCAGCTCTGCAGGAGAGATTCTTCAGCTGGAGGATGCAGAGGCTGCCATCATCTCTGGTACCCGAGTAATTTCTTCTGTAAACACACAGCAGAGCAGCAGGGATGTGCAGCGTGTTCCCTCGGTGCTGTGGTTTGGGCCACTCCTGGACAAAACCCCCATTGCCTCACATTAGCAGTTTGTTTGGAGCCTTAACCTAAAGCTGAGTTGGATCGGTGGGCAAAACCACCTCAGCTGAGGAGGGAGGCCTCTGCTTAGCAATTTGAAAACAGTTTTTAGAAACGTGTATTTGGTTTAATTTGGTGCCTGTCCTCATGTGTGGCAGAGAGCCCTGTGCATCAAAGATCCATTTGGAAACTTTTCTCCTTCCTCCATGCGGTGAATTAAGTCAGGTTTGGACAGTGCAATCTGGAGAACAGAATCTGCAGTGAGATTGCATTTATTTCAATGTCATGACTGAAATAAAACTATCTGAACGTTGTCAGCAGTGCTGCACCGAGTTACAGCTCTTAGCAAACGAGCACCTGACCCTGACAGGCTGGCTGTTGGTCCGGCACCCTGGGTGCTCCTTGGGATGTTGGCCTTCAGTCTGTAACAAACCTGAAGCCATCTGTGGTCCCTGGCTGCAGTTCGTTCTGTGAAAGCCACATTCACCACAAGCAGAGATTCATCACCTCAGAATCAGCCCCATATGAGGGGTTCGTGTGATTTCCTGTGCAGCACCCAGCGTGGAGGAGGCGTCAGTGTCACTGCTGTGCCCAGAGCGTGCTGCCATGGTGGTAAATGCTGAGGGCAGGGGGTGAAGTATTTCCTCTGAGTGAAGAATGAGGCTTCACTTCTGTCAAACTGCATCTGTGGAGCTGCTGTTACATCCCTGCAACTGAATGCACTGCCCTGGGATTCCCCTCAAATCTCACTTGCAGAAAAAGGGTTTTTCTGAGCAGGTAATATTGCAGAACGCTGGGTGCCCTGCTGCTGGCTGTGAGTAACCTCGTTTCCACTGACTTTGGGTCACTTCAGGTAAGAGTTTCCTTTGGCGTGACGTCAGAGGAGCAGGCAGCTCAGAGCTCTGTGCCTCCTGGTCGAGGTGCCCAGCAGGAGCTGTGTGCTGTCGCAGCCCTCGCGTTGTCCTGGCTGAGCGCAGTGGTGGTGCAGGGCAGGACTTCAACCCTGGTGCAGAGGATGCTTCCTCCTTCCCTCCTCTTCGGACAGCTGTCACTTTGTGCTTCAGACCGAGGGCCCCTCCGTACCCACTGGTACTGAGAAATCTATATTGGAAATGCCTTCAAGTCTTTACCTGCAGTGGCCGTCGGCTGTCCTGCAAATGGAGGTCACTGATGGCTTCCCAGGGTGAGGCAGAAGCAGCCCCATTTCTAGAGAACGGTGTTCCTGCAGAGCTGGGAGCCGTCCTGTCTGTGAGCAGCGCTCAGAGGAGCCGAATGCACGGCGCTGAGCCCCTGCTGTGCTCATTGGCAGTGAAGGCAGGCACTCAGGCTGGGGGAGCTGTGAGGCACACTGCTGGCTTTGCTTCTGCTTCCAATCCTGCAGAAGCCCTGCAGTGCTGTCGCTGTGCTGTGTCCCCATGCTGGGGAGCAGGAGCAGTTTTGTTGCCTTGCCCAGCAGTGCTCACATTTACACAGGGAAGGATAATGCAGATGCCGGGTTCCACGCCTGCTGTTCCAGCCTGAAGTCTCTGCATCATCTGGTGGTGCTGTGATGCTTTGTGCTCTGATTTGGAGAGGGCCCCCCTTCCTTCCGAGGCCGGACCAACGCCGTGCAATGGGGCTGGGATTCACCATCAGCTCGTGGTGCTGCTCTGCAGCTCTGCGTTGTGCCACGTTTATGAATCAGCTTCTTGATATTTTTGTACTGAGAGAGATTGGAGCGCTTGAGGAAAGCTCTGCAGGCCCCATTTCTGTTTGTAGGTGGGAGGAGATGTGGGGGGGCAGGGGGTCCTGGGGGCACTGCTGTGTGCTTTGCTGGGAGCTGCCAGTTCCCCCAATGCTGTTCAGTTTTGCCCTGGTTCCTGGGCCCACCTTGCACTGAAAGCATTGAATAAACCATCACAGTTCGTGGTTGATCGGCCGTTTGGTTGGGGTGTAAACTTTGTAAATAGTTCATTCGGTGTTGAGCCTGTGGCAGCCAAGTCTTTTAGTCTTATTTGTAAAGATGATGGATAAATGTTAATGTTGTGCTGAATTGTGCACTCCTGGTTAATTGAACACTTCATCCTAGCGCACCAAATGATGATTTTTACAATGACTGCAATGTTTCTCCACTGAAGGATTTCAAAGCTGCAATAGGACTGAAAACAACTTCTAGCAATAAAAAAAAAAAACAAAAAGTAAACAAGTGAGCTGCCTCTGTATGTGAGCATGGGGGGAGAGGCGTGTTTACAATTCTGTGATTCTGTAATTAACCGGTGTTTTGTGCGTGAACCAAAGATTAAATCTCATTCCTTTTCTATCCTGGACAGAAATCACTGTAGGAGCACGGATGGAGCACAGAGGAGAGGTGGGAGACGGATATGAATAACTGCAGCCTTCCTCAGTGAGGTGAGAGCCCTGGGGAGAAATCAGCTGATCTCAGAATGCTGCACTCAGCATGCAGGCAGCGTCAGCTCCGCCAAGTTGCTTATATTAGCACGGAGCTGCTTTGCAGGGCGCCGGCCAGAGACGTGCCTGGCTCTGTCCCAGCCGGTATCGGTTCCATTTGGAAGGAGTGTAATGAAAATAGAAACTTTCTCCGTGCTGCCTGTGCCAGTTTGGCAGCTCGCTGTGCCATCCTGGAGGCAGCAGGCTGTGCGTCCTGGCAGCTGTGAGCTCGTGGCAGACCTGCAGGCTCACCTGGACAGCGAGATCAGAGCACTCATAAAGCAGGGAGGCAAAGGGAGAACGAGGAGAGCTGCTCTCCAAGGAAAAGGTGTCATTTTGGATCGTTAAAATCCAGTGCTGTGGCCACTACTGAGGAAAAGCCTCGGCCGTGCCTGGATGTCGGTGCAGGGGATGCTTCTGAGCTGCCTTGTGCAGGGATAAGGCTTTGTGTGCACCAGAGCATCCTTGGAGGGATTGGGTTCCTCGTGTGCAGCACTCAGGAGAAGAATCTGCACTTCGTGGTCTCTGTGCTGCAGATCTCTGTTCTATGGCAAATGCTGCAGCTCAGCAGGGCAGGTGTGGATCTTGGGCAGAGCTCGCATCTGTTGGAAGCTCAGTGCTGTGTGTCTCAGTGCTGCTCTGCTCCTGCAGCAGGTCGGCATTCCTTTGGTGCTCTCACCCTGACGCTGCTGCTGCTCAGCTCTGATGCCCGGTTTTCACAGTGAAGGTGTGACTTCGGGATGCAGCACCGTGCAGAGCTCAGCCCGGAATGCCGGCAGCTCCGCCCTGCTTTGTCTCGTTCAGATCTGCAGCTAATTAACCCGAAACCCAAACCGCATTCTTTCTGTTTAGATGAATCACTCTGGGGCCATAGGCAATGACCAGCTTGATGCTGAACCTCCTCTTTCATGTGGCTGAGACGCTGCAGATGGTTCCCATACGTGCATCTGAGATCCATTGCAGCCCAGATGCTGGAGGACAAACACCCACAAAGGAGATTGGCTCCGTGCTGTGCTCTGACAGCAGCAGTGTGCTGTTTTCTGTCTTTCCTCAGCCACGTGACTCGAATCCAGTCTGATTTCTCATCCCAGCAATGGGGCCCAGGGCTGGCAGCAGAGGGATGTCAGCCCATCCTTGTCTGATGCTTACGTTGCTTTGCTTTGCTGCTTCTTGGCCCATGGGATCTGGCAGAGGATCAAAGCCAAAGCCCTCTTAGAGCTGGCAGTGTTGGAGTGTGAGATGCATGTGTGCTCCCTGGCTGTGGTGCAGCGTTGCATGCACAGGAGCCTCGAGCACAGCAGGGATTGCTTTGTTACAGGGGTGTGAGTGCACAGGACTGTGAAAAAATCCCACTGATGGGTGCAGCATTGGTGTCCCTTTCCCACATCAGAGCAGCGGTGAGTTTGCGTTCACTGCATGGAATGCATGAAGTCATCCCAGAGCACAAACAGCACAAACAGCACGGCGTCGTGAGGGCTGAAGTCACCTCAGCTGGCAGCACTGACGTGCAGCTCCTTTGGGGAGCTCGGACAGCTGAGTGCTGGTGCCCCTCCGTTCAAACATCCAGAATGTCCAAATTCTCTGAGAGCCACACTGTGGTGCGCTCGGTTTGTAGGGCTCTGGCTGTGGTTTGTGCCAAGATGCCCATCTGTTACCTCTTCCAGACATGGCTGTAGGTGGAGGTCTGACTCCTGCAGCTGGAGAGGTGCAGCCACAAAGCAGGAGAGGCCCAGGTTTGAGCCAGGTTTAGATTCTAAATGGGTTACATCAATTCAGCACGATTTTTGTCCTGGTAACAAAACCAACCTCTAAACTCACTTCACTTGCAGCCCCATCAGCCTACATTTTCTCACCCTGGCACTGCAGCAGTGATCGGATTAACGCATGGAAATGTCAGACTGGGAAAACAGGTCTGTGCTGTGCAGAGCTGCACCAGGGGAAGGAGTCTGGTTTTCCCCAGAAACTGGGAACTGCTTCCTACCAGGGGAGGTAGGGGGAGCGGGGCTGTGTGCCAGCTGGTGGAGGCAGGGATGGAGGCAGGGATGGAGGCAATGAGGCTCTTGCAATCTTCGTGGCAGCTGCCGCAGAGCAGCCCAGGTGTGCTGCAGGAGCTGCTGCTCCCTGAGAAGCGCTTTGCTGGCAGCGCAGTCTGAGACGAGAAAACGATTCGCAGACGCTCGCAAAGCCCCCAGCAGAAGGGCTGCTCCGAGCGGCCCCAGCGCTGCGGAGTGCGGCTCTGCTGGATCCCAGCGCCGGGACGGGGAGGGAGAGACCTGCGGCTCCGAGCAGCTCCGTCCCCGCTGCAAAAACCGGATGTGGTTGGGAGCCGCCGTTTATGGCTCGGCAGAATAAATAAAGCAGCTGCAGCTCAAAGGGCCGGCAGCGAAAGCTCAGCTCCGCTGTGTTGCTGGGCAAAATCGGACTTTGTCCGACCCTCAGGAGTAGCTGCAGCTGTAATAAAGGTGAGGCAGCTCCCGGCCCGCTGACAGGAAGGAGCTGCTTCCTGCTCCCAGCTCTGCTCTCTGCCTCTCCCCCATCCCGCGCCGCGATGCCGGCAGCTGCCGTGCGCTGCGCCCGGCCGGCCTCGCAGGGCGCTGTGCGGGCTGCTGCACAAAAAACTCCCTTTGGGATTTGCGCAGAGCGGAGGGGAAGCACAGCAGCGGAGAAGGGGGAAAAGTGCCGACCTGGGGCTGCAAAGGGCAGAGGCGGCAGAGAGCAGGATGGAAATGAAGTCATTTTATCTTCAGCCACCGCAAACGGGGCGGCTCTCTTCCTTCCAGTCCTGCCAGTTCTTGCCTATACGAGCAGCTGGGAACGGTCGTGACATTGATTTATTCAACTCCGGAACTGAATAATTGCTCACACCCAAACCGTGCTTCTGTGGTGAGACATCTGGTTGCGCCCTCGGTGCCATTTCCTCCGCCTCGTCCCTCCCCCCTCCCCGCAGCGGTGCCTTCCTGCTGCGCAGCCTGGGAAGCAGCGGCTCTTTTCTGGCAGCGAGGAAACAGCTCTGCTGTAGCACCAGGCAAGGGCAGAGAACAGCTTCAACTTCGGCACTGGGAACAGGTTTGTGTGTCCTACAACGCAGGAAGGCAGCGTGAGCTCTGAGCTTCCCCGTGTCACAAAGACGCAGAGAGAGCGGAGCCGTGCCCAGGGGCCGGGCTGCAACAGGGGACGATGCTCACAACTTCCGCCAACCCAAAAATGTGGGCTGGGAGGAATTACGGCTTCAGCACACAGAACAGCACGGGACAGAGCGGGATTCATTCAGGTTTATTGAGGCAGCTCCAGGCTGAGTAATAAACACACACAACTGCTGTATAAAAAATGCGCAGAAGCAGCCCGTGGGCAAAGTGCTGTCACGTGCTACGACATTACAGGCAACTGCATCTGGTGCTGACTGCGTTCCAAGTCGCAGGCAGCCCGGAGCTGCCAGTTGCTCAAGAGCTTCCTTTGTCTTTCCCAGTAAAGACCACTTAAAAGAGTGAAAGAAAGAAGTAGAAAAGAATCGCCTGGGTTCTGGGCGGAGAACGTGAGGATGGAACCCGGTCCCCTGTCACCACCCCCAGCCCTGGAGCGCTCCTCAGCTCTTGCAGTCGGCAGAGAATTCTGTGCCTGTGGAACGATGCTCGCTCCCCTCTGCAGCCCGGAATCTTCTGTAGGTGTTACAGAATATTTAATTACACCACTTGGTGCGAGCAGCAGATCTCTTCTAAGGGGAAAAAGCAAACAAAGACACTGCAGGGATCTGTGATTCACCGGCATCTTTTCTCCCTGCAGCGTCTAGAAGAGTTTAATTCTGGTCACAAGTTTTTAAGAAGTTAATTGCTGCGTAGCAGGAAAGAAATGGCACAGAGGGGACGCCAGAGAATAATTAGAAGTGGATAAACCCTGTGTTTATATGTAGACAGGGCTTGTCTTACAAAGGCAATTACCGACCGTTCTGGGACTGAAACCCCAGCTATAATCTTATTCTGGCACCGGCCCTCAGCCCTCACGTCCCACAGGACATTTGGGTGCCACCAGCAGATTAACTGTGGCACCAGGACGAGGAAGCAGTGCTAAAAGCAGCCGCCGTCTCCCTGTGGGTTCCCCCAGCACTGGGCTCAGACAGCTTTCTGCACCAGGACACCCAATCCTGTCCACAGCGAGCATTCCCCAAAATCTTTGCATAGGCCGAGACTCAGTGGAAGGACGAGGATGCCAGGTTCAGCGTCGCGTTATTTATACTCGCCTTCCCGCAGCATTTGAGCTCCAGCCTCGAAGCTCGTGGCCAGAGCCGATGCTTCTGGGAGAGCCGCAGGAGCGCAGCGCAGCCCTTCGGGGCTCAGCCTCACACAGCACAGCTCCAGAGCAGCTCCGGGCCGACACAAGCCATTCTTCAGGCAGACAGGTACTTCCAGGTGCTGACGAAGGCGGTGGGGATGAGGGAGTAAGGCACCGTGGTGACGCTGCTCCAGGTGTCGGATGAGGGATCGTAGCAGTCCAAGGTTTTGCAGCGCTGCGCCCCGCAGTACCCCCCCACCACGTACAGCCTGTTGCCCGACGTGACGGCGCGGCAGCTGATGCGCTTCGCCGTCACGTCCCCAAACTTGGACCACTGGAAGGTGTCGCTGTGGAAGCGGTAAGCGGAGCTGGCAGAGAACTCCGTGTCCCCCCCGATGACGATGACATGGCTGCCCACCACCGCCGCCGCCGTGTATCGCCAGGGCTGCGGGCAGCTGCAGGGCACCGTCCAGCGGTTCTGGCAGGGATCGAAGCACTGCACCTTGGGCAGCTTCTCCTGGTTGGTGCTGGTGCCGCCGAAAACAAACAGCTTCTTCTTGGCCCCCACCACGGCAGCGTTGCTGACGCCTTCCCGGAGAGGGGCCACCAAGGACCACTTGTCCAACTGGGGGTCGTAATGCTCCACTTGCTTGAGAGACACGGAGGGAGAGGCCGGGAAGGCCCCGCTCACTGCTGTGTGCCCTCCCACCACGTACAGGCAGTGGTCCAGTTCCGCGGAGCCGTGGCCGAACCGCGCCACCAGCATGGGAGCAGCCTTGGCCCACTCGTCGTGCAGCGTGTCGTACACCCAGACGTCCCTGGAAGCGCCGTGCTCGGAGCCCTTCCCACCCGTGATGTACACTTTGCAGCCGATGGCGCAGGCGCTGCACTCCTTGCGAGGGCTCGGGATGTCGGCGCGGGGAATGATCTCACGGGTTTTGTGGTCCAGCACGTAGATCTTATCACACACGAAGGTCTGGCCGCCGAGCAGCAGCAGGGCCTGGCTGACCTTGCGGGGCCGGGCGCAGCACCCCGTCACCACGCCATCGTTCTGCAGGATCTTCATTTTGCACCGCACGGCGTCGGCCACGATCTCCTCCCCCAGCTTGTGGCTGATCACCAGCTTCTCGCAGGCCACCTGTTTGCGCAGGTAGGACTCGGGCAGAAGGGCCAGGCGCACGGAGCGCAGCAGCTCGGGCAGAACCTCGTGCCGCCGGGGCAGATCGTACCGGATCCAGCCCATAACAGCTTCGTACACCAGGGTCTCGTCCTCCACCTCCAGCTCTTCGCTCTCCACCAGCTCCAGCAGTTTCTCTTTGGGCAGCCGGAGGAAGTCTTCGGTCTTGCAGAGGGAGGTGAAGTTGGCCAACGCCATCCTCCAGGACAGCTCCAGCAGCCGCTCACAGCAGTGCGCATCGGACAGCAGCAGCATGTTCAGGCAGTTCCCAGGGTAGAGGTTCTTCTCCAGGAAGTCGGCCGAAGCGTCCCGAATATCCTGGAACTGCAGCATGTCCCCAGCCTCCAGCAGGGACTCAGCGTTCTCCTCGTTGATCAGCACCCGGGCCGAGTAGGCGTAGTCCAGCAGCAGCTCCAGCACCTCGGGATGCAGGGAATCGTGGAAGTTGACTTCTGCGTCCCTGCTCTCCTTCAGGCCGCCGCTGAACATGGCGTCGAAGTAGCGGCTGCAGGCGGCCAGCACGGCACGGTGGCAGTGGAAGGTGCGGTTCCCCGCCCGCAGCACCACGTCGGTGAAGAGGTGCCTCTTGCGGAGCAGGTTCAGGTGGGTGAGGAGGCTGTCGGCGTGGCCCGGCTTGTGGAAGAGGTGGATGTTCATGGAGCCCGAACTCGAGCGGGATTTCCGGTTCTCGTGGCTGCTGACGGACATCGCGGCGAGCTGCTCTGCGTGGGAACGCCGGAGGGTCAGCGGGGAACGCTCGGACACTACCGAGGGACCCGCGGGGCCGCGGCGGAGGGCCGTGAGGGAGCCGGCGGGGTGAGCGCGGAGCCCGACGGTAAGGGCACGGACCCAGCCGCTACCGAGCGGTCCGGGAAGGAGCACGGCGCAAGACGCGGAGGTGACGGGTGCTCCCCGCGCTCCTCCCGCCCCGCAGCCCCACGCCTTACCGAGGCTCAGCTCCGAGACGGGACCGGACCGGACGGGACGCGCTCCCCGCTTCGCTCTGCCGCCGCACTCCGCCGCCGCGTGGCCGCCCCGGCGCTGGCCCCGCCCCCCGGCCGGCCAGCCAATCGGCGGCCGCGGCGCTCTCGGGCCGTTCTTTGTGAATGGGAGCCGAAGGCCGCCCGTGCGCATGCGCCGCTCATTAACCCCTTCCCTGCCGGCGGCGGCGGCCCCCACGTGCGCTGCGATCCGGCCGGCAGCGCTCCCCACCCGCAGCCGAACGCTCCTCCTGGGCACGGCACCCCTCCCTTCCACAGAAGGGAGCCGGAGCCCGTAGGGGAGCGGCACGCCAGATCTGACGCTCGTAAAGCCCGGTCTCGGCTTTGTTCGTTGAGTCACCGTGCTATAAAGGGGCCGTAAAGCGGGAGCCGCGGTTCTGAGCTGCTATCAGCAGCTCGCTGCAAAGCCCACGCTATCTGTTAATGCCTTTTCACATCTCGGCTTGCTGACAGAGTGAGGTCACGGCCGGAACAATCTGTCCCTGCTCAGCAAATGTTTTCCTGCATGGAGCAAAGCAAGAGCTGAGCAGAGCAGCAACGAGCAGCGGCTGCTTCCCACGGAGGAGCAGCTGCTCTCTCACAAGATCTCATGCAAAACAGCGTCAGCTGAGCCGGCGGTCAGCAGCAGCCACCACGAGGGAGCTGAAAGCGGGCAAGTTTGGGACCAAACCCTCCGAGTTCAAACAGCTCCAGACCCAAAACCCTCCTGCGCTTTCCCGTCTGCGACTGGAAATTGCTTGAGGAGAAAATGCGTAACGCAAGGGTGCTTAAGCCAGCTGATAGCATCCTTTGTCTTTGTTTAAAGCGTGATTTAGTTTTATTGCTTCTGCATCAGAGGTTTACACAGGTACAGCTTGTTTTGAATCACTACAGCTACACCTTGCCCCGCGCTGAGCAGGGCAGCCTGTCCCAAAGGGGTGGTTCAGCAAAAAGGTGCTCGTTAAGGAAAAAAAAACTTGTTAAAAATCAATACTCAGCTGCAATAGCTGGTGCCAGTTGAGGACAGGACTGGGCAGCAGCTGCAGCTGTATCAGATGTTCCAGCTGCCTGAGACTGCAGAAAACACGAATCCTTTGCAGACAGAAGCTGCCAGTGCTCCAAGCGGCGCTGCGTGCAGCTGCTCCCGGATCAGCCACCAAACTGTGAGCAAAAGCAGCACTGCTTCCTGTGCAGCGGCAGGGCGAAGGTCCAGTAAAACAGCCAGCCAAGGCAGCAAGGACAGGGCAAAGGGTAGAGAGCACCAACGCCTTGTTATGGGCCCAGCACAGAGGCAGGAGGCAGCTTCTGCTCTTTGTTACATGCACACAAAAGCCAAACAGCCCAGCGAGGTGAGCCACGTGGCAATGCAGGACACAACGCTGCTCAGATGGAGCACCACTGCTTCCAAAAGACCCATCTCTGCAAAAACCTCCAGCAGTCAGGTGCTCTGAATCATTCCACTTGAAGGAAGATGGGTAACAGATGGTCTCTGCCTGCCCGTGGGTGCTGCAGCAGCACAGCACCAATGTCTTCCGTTGCCTGGAAACAGTTTGGGGCTTTCTGAAGCCAGATAAATGACGTTTGTCCACTTATCAGAAGTAATGATGACCCAAGGCCGCCTTTGAAGCATTTCTCACATTTATTATTGGCACCGTTTAAAAATATGATTGTAAAACTCACTCGTGCATTGGTTTCACCAGTTATTTCAAAAATGATCAACAACATTTTTTCCTTTTTTTCTTTTCTAAGCCAGTCGGCTCTCGCAGAGCTCGGTGGAACAGCTCCACCCGGTGGCCTTCCACAAAGGCACAGCCCGAGCCTCAGAGCACCTTTTGGCTTGTTCTGGTTTCTCCTCGGGTAGAAAAGCTGGAAGAAAGCTTGGCAAGGCACTGCATACAGCTGCTGCTATTTCCCCTATCGCCTCTGAAGAAATGCAGCAGTCACAAGGAGCTGCCACCCACCAGCCTCCCTCTGCCACCCGCTCCTGCCTGTGTTTGGGGTATCAGCTGCTGTGGGCTCAGACACCAAAACCTCTGACAGAGAAACTTCCACCATCAAGGTCAGCTCTGTGGCTCAGGGAAGCATCAGGTGCTGGGCCTGGAGCTGGAACTCACCGAATCCATCCTCTGGAAGTTCTGAGTCAAACAATCACGGCCGTTTCTCCAAACACTTTGTGCTCTTTTACACGAGAGCGGGGGCTGGGGGGTTCCAGCTGTCTTTTGAAGTACAGGAAGGCTGGAAGCGACCACAACCTTTTTTTCCTCTGTTATCAATCCTATCAGATTCTGATTTTCAGAGGATTCACCCAAAAGATTTCTATGAATAAAATCTGTCAGCCATAAGTAACCCTCTCTGTAACAGAGCTCTGATTACACTCTCAATTACAGGATTCATGGAATTAGAATCATTGGCATCCAGGAAAGTTAACATCCAGCCTGCCTCATTAAATACCTTCTTACCACATTAAACTTGGGTTTTAGAAGCTTAATTATAGCTCACGCAGCTCCAGAACTGCTCTTTCCAGATGCCTGGTAGATACCAATCAGGGAGGAGATGGTCCCCAGGAGCCCCACTAACCACGGAGGGAACCGTCCGGCCCACAGGAACCCTGGTGGCAGCCAATGGATCGCATTGCAGAGATCTGCCAAGTTACTGACGATGCTCAGAACTTCAGCCTTCACTTGGGCTCGCATTTTCTGTTGACTCTGTGGTGAAGGCGGAGCACTGGAAACAAACATAATATTAGTGATGGTGTACTGTACCTGGAGGTGTTTAAGGCCGGGGTGGATGGGGCCCTGGGCGATGTGATCTAATAGCTGTAACCGTGCCTGAGGCAGGGGGCTGGAACCTGATGAGCTCTGAGGTCCCTTCCAGCCCAAGCCTGTGATCCTACGATCTTATCATCCTACAATTCCGTGCAATTACAGCTCACGAACAAGAATAAATAAAAATATTCAGGTGATAGCAGGTGTAGAAGCAGGGAGAGGAATCATACCGCTTCTGCTGCTTCAGCTTCCTTCTTAACCGGAACAGGATTCTCAGGGATCTGGAAAGGAAGCAAACTGAAGTCACTGCTGCAGAGCAGCGGCGGGGATCCGAGCCGAGGGCTGGCACTCACCGCAGGGTGCCCAGCACCAGCGAGAGCCCCCAGAGCGCCGTGCTGGCCGCCCACCAGCGCCGGGAGCGGCCGCGGATGACGCCGTTGTCGGCCGCCCAGGCGACGTGCTCGCAGGGGTAGTAGAGCTGGTCGGCCACGTTGCGGAGCACCGACAGCCCTCGCACCAGCGCGTCCTCGTCCTGCGGGGAGCACACGGACACGGACATGGACGCGCCCTGATGCCCGCGGCCCGGCGGCCTCCTCCCGCCGCGCCCCGCGGCCCGCGCTCACCTTGGGCCCCAGCCCGTAGGCGCGACTGTGGCTGAGCATGGCCAAGTCGTCCAGCAGGCGCAGGACGGTGCGGCAGGAGCTCAGCTGGGCCGACACGGCCAGGAGGCTCCCGGGCAGCCCCTCGGCGGGGCTCCGCGTCCCGGCCAGCGCGCCGCCCGCCAGCTGGCAGCCATAAGACAGAGCGCGGACCTGCGGAGAATGGCCGGTGAGGGACAGAGCCGCAGGGCCGCCGCAGGGCCGCCGCAGGGCCGCCCCGCCCGCACTCACCGCGCGGTCCCGGCCGCGGTACGACTCGAGCGCCGCCACCAGCGCGCCCAGCGCCCCCGCCGCCATAGCAACGCCCCCGTGCCGGGCCGCCGCGCGAGGCATGCCGGGAGGGCGGCGCCGTCGCCACGGTGACGCGGCCTACGCGCGGGGATGGCGGCCCGGACCCCGATCCCGGCTCGTCTCGCGGCCGTTCCGTTCCCGTGGGTCTCCCACCCGCAGCCGGGCGCTGCCCGCGGCGGCCCCCGGGACGACGGTCGGCCATTTTCTCACCTTCAGTTCCCCCCTTACTGGGGGCATCGCAGGCCGACGCCGGCTGAGCCGCCCCGCAGCGGGGCCGTGTTGGGGCGGAGCGGGGCCGAGGGCGGCGGGCGCTGCTCGGAGACGCGCCTGGCGTTCCCGGAGCGGCCCCTGCGGCAGCGCAGCCCCGGCTTCGCCCCGGCGCCGTGCGTCCGAATGCACGCAGACCCCCGCGTTCGCATCTGCTCCTCGGCGATGAAGGACAGCTTCCCCTGCCCCGAAGCCCCCCCCCCCCGCAGCCCGCCCTTCCCAGAGCGCAGCAGAGCAGCGACGGAGTTCTTTGTGGAGACAGGGAGAAAATCGGGCTCCCTCCGTCAGTGCACAGCACCTCGTATCCAGCGCACGAGGTCCGCCCCGCTGCCAGGGCGCGTCACTCCCACAGCGGTGAGAGCTCCGGCGTCAGAGGCTGCCGGGATCCCCAGCACGGGCTGGCGGTGGCCGGGCTCAGAACCACGCTGCCAACCATTAAAGCCGCGTGGATGTTCTGCCTTCTCGTTTTATGACTGAATAAATCAACCCGATGCTCATAAAACGGCTTCAGCCAAGGGCGCCAAGCGTTCCCAGCAAACATCTCCGCTTGCAGTCCCTCAGGTGCTGCTGTTCTCACATAAAAGCTGCACTGCTTCTGATGCACCACATCCACGTTCTGCAGTTTTAATCTGGCGTTAAGTGCTCTGCCATTCAACGGTGCTGAATCAATTTGGGAGCAGCTGTCTTGAGAGTATAGCTTTAATCTCAGTCATGTTTCCTTACAAGTGTAAATAGAGCTGTGTTGTATTGTTTTGTTTTAAATAACACCAGTTCCCCTTCTGGCCGTTTGCAGGATGTGCTCCCATTATTAAAGGGGATGGACGGCCCTATTACCACACTTCTCATCAAACGCAGTTTAAAGGTGAACACGGTCCACCTGCAAAGCCAAGTGAGAAGGTAACAACATGAATTTGGGGATGACCAAGGCACGGTTTTCAGCACACTGCCATGTTGAATTCTGTCCTGTGCAACTGAAAAAACAGCAGATGGAAAGATAGAGGTGGGGAACAAAGGGATCATGCTTTGAGCAGCAGTTTCATAGCTCTGTTTGCTTCCCTTCAGCACAAATCTCGTATTAAATTTGGGGATCCCAGAAGCAGTGGATCTACGAGCGAGCAGAAGTATGCCTACACTGCCCTGGGCAAAAGGGAGCACAGGTATTCAGCAGGATAGGCTGACAGCATCCCAGCAGCTGCTCCTTCTGATGAGCATTGCTATTTAAGCAGCTCAGATCTGTTATCTTGCAGATTCTATGACAAGGAACGCGCTGCCTTCCAGATCCACCACACAAACATACGGCCAGGGGATGGTTGCACCAGGTTCTCCACCTCGATGTCAGAGCTCTTTCCAGTACATAATGCAGGTAAGGTGATGCAAAGACAACATGCAGACCTCTGCTAAGGTTTATAACCAGCTGAACGGCGTTTTTTATCACTTGGCCTTAATAATACAGACAAAAGGTGTAATACATGACTATCATACGTATGTGAATTTCTGTTTTTAACATTTTATTGTTATTACATACTCAGTGCCAGTATCCTCACAGTGGGGTTCAGTTTCATTCCTAGCAGGTTGAACAGCTACATCCTTCACTCTCGCCTTTGCCAGAGCCTGTAGCTATTGCCTGTCTGAACAAAAACACTTCATCCATCCCCAGAGGTGATGAAGACCCAGAGAGAAATCGTGCACTGGCAAGAATTACCACGATGCAGCTCTTCTACCCAGAGGTCTGTTCCCATCCTTGCTGTGTGGGTGTTTACCTGGAGGACAGGCTCTCTGCTTTTAAGCACTTTCTTAGGCCTCTGTTGTCCATTCTCCCCTTTCCATGCTGGCTGGCAACACGAGCCTCTGGGCTGCATGGGGGTGTGATGTGACACAGGGCACCTTTCCCAGCTCCAGCCTACTTCTGTTACAGCCAGCCATTGTGTTCTGTAGGCTGGCAGGTGGAACTTCCCACCGAAGCCTGACTTGCTGCTGCAGAAACATGGAAGCAATGTCTGCTTAGGAGATGACCTTTCAGGCTCCTGTTTCTTCAGCACAACACAGCACTCAGACTATCAGCCACCACTGCAGCCCCAGAGGGTGACAGGAAACAGCAAGAGCCACCGTGACAGCCACATCCCCTTCTGCTACCACAGTAAGGTTGCTCAGGCTGTCCTGGTGCTGGAGGAAGCCTGCAAGGTTCTCCTGGGTCTGTGCAAGGAAAAGCAGTGCCTGGTGCTCTGGGAAAGGAAGCAGCTCAAATATCTTGGGTTGAAGGTGGCAGGCAGGCATGGGTGCAGCTTCAGTGTCATTAGGAAAACAAAGCCAGTACTTTGAAATCGGGCAGAACAGCCACGCTCAGCCCCCTGCTGCACAGGGCAACTGCTCATTTCAGGCACTTTCACCTCCCCAGGTGACATCTCACTTCTTTGTCACTGCAGTCAGTCGCTCTTATTGTGTAGGAATTGTTAGCAGGTTCAGGTGGTGGCATGAATGTTTTCTGGGACACAAACCAGAGGCTTGACCTTTCTCCCTTGCTGTATTTGTTTTCTGAATTTACTTTGTATTTGGGGGAGGATTTGAATTAAAAGCTGTGCTTTTGCAACCTCAGGAAGAGATGCAGTTTGAGCTGGTCGTGGGAGGCATTAAAATCCTCCTCTGGCACTGTTCCTGATGGCCAACAGCCTGCATCTGAGCGAGGTCCCTTCGTGCTGTGTGTGTTTTTAAGACATTTGCTTTAGATGCGGAGCAGATAGCAGTCAAAACTGCCCTTGTCACTGCCTTCATACCCAGCATGTGGAATGATATTCCCATGTCTTCCACGTGAATTTCTTCATTTACCTCCTCAGTGAGAGCTGTCAGTCTGCAGCTGTTTGCTGGGCAAAGGTTTGCCCTGCAGGGCTGACTGCAAAGTCTGTCTTTGCCTCTCATTAATGGAGCGTCTGCAGATCTGTGACTGCAAAACAAACTGCAAAGCTTTTCTGACGTGTCCTCCCAATTTACTGGCTTGAATTGTCTTTTGACTGCAACCTGTGAACAGGTGAAAATCCCATCACCACCACCCAGGCTACGCTGGTGCCACACAGACAGCAGAAGCAACGGCTCTCTGAAGAAGTGCTACAGCAGGTACAGCGTTAACAGGCCAGCATTCACCGTGGGCAGGTTTGGGAAGAGGGATTATGCAAAGCAAAGCTGCAGCCACCCCGTGAAGTTCATGTTCCACCCATGCCCACGTGCTGCTCTCTCCTCAGATGAAATGCTCACACCTGGTGCTGCCCTGGAAGCAGCAGAATTTCTTCAGTACCGAGCAGAAGGATGAGTTCACACCCAAGCACAGAGACACAGCAGAAATCCAAGCAGCAAACTGCCACGTGAGCTGCATCCCGCTGGGGACCCTGAAAGAATATTGCTCCCAGGGAAAGGTGCTCTTTACACCGTGATGCTCCCCCTTTTCCCTGCTTGCCCAGAACTTCCTGCAACATCAACTGCCTGTGTTGTGTTACCCAGCTGTTCTGCTGCTGCCGGTCTGGCCCTGCTCCTGGCCCAGCTGTGTGTTATTACAGTGAACATTCATTTCAAGAGTTGAATGAGGACACGAAGTGTTGTGACAGCAATAAACACCAGGGGATTGGTCCAAAGACACGGGTGACAGCTCTCTGGAGCTGCAGGATCCACGCAGTGCCTCCAGGCGGGTGCAGGGCAGGAGGGAGCGGGGGAAGCTCAGGGGAAGGGCGAGAGATCAGAAGCGTCAGGGCTGCGTGTGGGCTGGAATATTCCCGTGTTATCTGTTTGGATTTTGGTGTCAAGGCCTGAAACCAAAGGTCAGTGAACAGGAGGGCGGAGAAGCAGCGCTCTCAGCTTATGATGAGCGGGGCTGTTTTCCTAGCAACAAGCAGAGTATTTCTGTTGAGTTGATAAACTCCTGGGGATTCCCTGAATGCTGAGCTTGCACTAACTCTGGTGGGGATGCAGGCATTTTAAAGGGAGGCCAAGTGAGCAGCTCCAGCTGCTGCCTTGTCACAGCTGCCATTTCACGAGCTCTTCTCAGCCTTTTGGTGCAGATGGATTTGATTCACGTGCGCTGTGAGCCAGCAGTGCAGTATTAGAACAGGCTTGCTAATTCATTTCCAATTGCTGCAGTCTGTATGTGAGCAGTGGCCCACAAACTCCCCATGCTTTCCTCTTGAGATTTGACATTACATCTCTTGGGAAAGGGCTGCTCTTTGTCCCACGTGTACTTGAAAGAAGCCGTACTCAAGCCTTGCAGATTCCCACAGCTGCTCCTCACGGTGTCATTTGCTGGCATTTTGCAAACACCGAGATTCAAACGTATAGATTGCTTCACTGGGTGTAGTAACAGGGACTTGCACACGCTGCAGGTCTGTCCCATATTTTTAATGACCATAAGTTGGCATTGCTACCTGTTGTGCTACTGCAGAAACAGCCACTGTTCCCTGGGGTTAAATGCTGAGCACCAGCTTTTGGTGGTGAGCTGCTGCTGGGGGTGGGCTGCAGTTGTTTGCTTTCTTTTCACGTAGATCCTGTTGCAATTTCAGACACAGAAAGTTCTGCTGGCTTTTGGGGAAAGGATCATTGCTTTCTAAGCCCCCCTCCAACCACTCACAGAAATGCCTCAGGACTGCCTGATTTGGGAAGGCCAAACAGACCCCACAGTGTAAAACCAGCACAACACTCCTCCCTGCAGACGGAGCCACCAGCACGTACCCACGGCACACCAACAGCGGCTGCGGCTCGGAGATAAGACGAAGTGACGTTACTCCTCCTTTGCTTTAAAAGCCCCGTCGCTGACCTCCTCAGCTCCCCTTGGCACCGCACCCGCCTCGCACGCACGGCCAACACTGAAGCATCACCACAAAGCAGAGTCTGAGCCCCACCTGGGGAGCCTGCAGGGCTGGGGGCAGGGGCAGAGAGGGGATTTCGGTGCAGCCTTTGCTCTTCCTTCCCTCCCCTGGAGGGCCGCACGTCAGAGCCGCAGGGCAAAGCGGGCCAGCAGCAATGCAACCGCCGGGGCGCGTGCGGAGCTTGGCGGTGGAGCTGGAGGACGGGAGAGCGTGGGGAGCCTACGGCAGCGGGGAGCTGCTGCACGGCCGCGTGCGGCTGGAGCTGCGCGGTGCCCTGCGCCTGCGGGCGTTGGAGGTTTGTGCTCGCGGGCGTGCGATCGTGCACTGGTTGGAGAGCCGCAGCGTGGGGCTCAACATCGTCTACCACGACTACACCGCCTTCCAGACCTTCCTGAACCGCCGCCGCCAGCTCATCCCCGGTAAGGCTGGGGCTGGGGAGCGGCTCTGTGCCGCCGTGCGGTCGGGACCCCGCGGGCTGCAGGCCCCACTCTGGGCACATCTCCGCCCTCCTCGCGCCGGTGCCATCTGCAAGCAGGGTTCTGCCTCTTGACCTCTACCGAGGGTTGCTGCGAGGCTGCCTGCGGACTCGAGGCTGGTGAACACAAAGGTTTGTGGCTTTTGTTCTGTTTGCGCAGGGAAGTGCAAACACGGGGTCTGTTCACAAGTGTGGAAAGAGCACTTAGGAGCTCGGTAAATATTTGTTTTCAGTTTTCTGGTGCTGGAGCCACATGTCCGGCTGGTGTGTTGCTTGGATCTGCAGCGTGAGGAGAAGGCACTTGAGTTATTTGTGTAGTTGGGATGAAATGATCCAGAGCCCAGTGACATGGGACATGTCAGCTGTCCACCTGCTCGTTAACTCTGCCTCACAGACAGCGACACCGCTGCAGCCGCTGTGCCACCATCGTTGCTGCCATGGGGTTTCCCTGACTCTGAAATCCACGAGGGCATTTCACTGTCCAGAGGCAGAGCCTCGCTGCCGGTGGAGGGGTCACATGGGAGCTGCCTGCCTGGAGCTGCTTGTCTCCAGCCTGCACTGTAGGGCCATACACTTTTTCGAGATGACTGCCTTACCACCTTGTTCTGAACATCTTCATTACTATGGAGCTCCTGTCTTTTCGGCGGCGGCCTTTCTCTGCTGTGCCTACAGGTGGCCCCACGGCAGCTGCAGGCGTGCATCTCATCCCATAACAATTCAGGATAGGGCTGCCTGGAGGAGGGCTTTCAGCCAAGGGCTGGGGAGTCACCGGCCCTGCGCTCTTGCAGCATGGAGCTGGCGGCTGTGCGGGGAGCAGGGAGCCCTGTGGGTGCCATTGCATCACCTGCACACTGCTTCCTTCTCTGCTTTGTGGGGGACACGGGTCTGTGATCACAGCAGTGATGTGGGCTGGGAGAAGCGCTGCTCTGCAGCCACAACTGCTCCCATGTGTCCGTCCTGCCGGGTCCTGTTCTGTGCCTCTGCCACCAGCAGCACAGAGAGGGGCTGGGGAAAATATGCTGTCGTCTGGGGGTCCCACGACTGCTCCCTCATTGCTTCCTGATGAGTTGGGCTACGTTTGGAAAATGCAGAGTTTGCCATGGCAACGCAGCAGCGAGCCGGGTGGAGATAAGTGTGCTGTGCTGCGCTCACTGGGTTTATCTGCAGCTCCCTGGCAGAGCAGTGAGCATGGGACTCTGCTGTGCTCCCAAACAGAAGCCATGGAGAAGTGCTCAGGGCCATCGCAGGCAGAGCATGCGAGCAGGAAGGAAGGGACAGCAGGGTTTCATGGGCAAAGGCGAGGCCCTGGGTGCACCCACATGGGGTGCTGGGAGGGGTCCCACGGCACTCTGCGAGCAGTGCCCCTTCTGTCCCAGCCGGGGGGGCTGCGGCCGGCCCGGTGCGCACAGCTGAGGCCGGGGCTGGGTTCGGGCTCCCAAAATGCCGGGGTGGCACCGTGGCCGCAGAGCTCCGTGGGTCCCCAAGGCACGGGGAATGGGGGGGGGGGGGGGCTGCAGCCGTGGGTGAGGCTGAGTCACCGCGGGGGCCGCCCGCAGCTTTCCCGGAGCTCTGCTGTGCCAGGACGCGCCTCGCTTCCTTCTTCCCACCGCCGCCGCGCTCCCTTGCAGCGTTTGCAATGATTCATATTTGCTCACGGCAGCAAACGGTCACGTAAAGATAACGAAGCACGGCTCCTGCCCTCGCACTGCGGACCCGCAGCTCCCCACCGCCGGGCTTTGACCCCAACTGCACGGCAGCGATGCTGGGCGCAGAGCGAGGCCCCGTGGGTGAGATTTGTCACAAACACAGCGCAGGGCGGCGCAGAGCCGCCATTCGCCTGGTTAAACGGCCCGGGGGGGACGCGTTGCTCACCGCGCATTGCACAAACTGAACGGGAGCCAGTTCTTCATTTCTTAGAAACGAGCGGAGCCGCGGCCCCGAGCAGCTTTCCCCGCATCACCACTCGGCCCGGCCCAGCGCCGCGAGCCGCCCGCAGCCAGCTGCGATCCTGCGAACGGCTGCGGGAGGGGCGCGGGGTCCCCGCACGCGCAGCGCTGCGGGCGCGGGGCGAGCAGAGCCGTGGGGCGTCGGGATCCCGGCGGGGACGGGAGGGGGGTCGCGGAGGGGTGCGGCTTCCGCCCCGAGGGGCTCATCCTGGGGTGCGCACCCCCATCTCGTGGGGTCCCCACCGCACCGCCACGGGGGTGAGCGGGTCCCGAGGCTCCGCAGCGACGGGCACCGGACGGCTGCAGGTCCGAGAAAGCCCTGGGAGTGGGGGGAGGGGGGCCGTACCGCCCGCACATGCTCGTTGCGTTGTTTTGCGGCGCCTGCCGGGGCCGCCCTGTCCCGTCCCGTCCCGCCCCGCCGGGGCCGCCCCCGGGGCGCGCCGGGCACTTAAAGCGGCGCTGGGCGGCGGCGGGGCGAGTTGTTGGAGCCGCCATCTCTCGCCATGCTGTTCGATCGCCTCAAGCGCTTCCTGATCGTGCTGGAGGGCGCGGAGCGGGGATCGCCGGCCGCCTTCAGCCCGGGGCAGGCGGTGGTGGGGCGCGTGGTGCTGGAGCTGGCGGGGGCCGCGCGCTGCGGGGCGCTCCGGTTGCGGGCGCTCGGAGCCGCCCGCGTCCACTGGACCGAATCGCGCAGCGCCGGTTCCAGCACCGCCTACACGCAGAGCTACAGCGATCAGGTGGAGTTCCTCAGCCACCGCGACACGCTGCTGGCGCCGCCAGGTACGGCTGCGGGCTCCGAGCCCCCCGCGCGCCCCCGGCCCGGCACCCCGCACCCGGTGGGGATCCCCGCGCCGTGCCTCCCCCGGCCGGGTGGGCTGCGGGACTCCGTGCTGAGCGGGGTGGGGTTGCGGGGCGCGGTGGCGGTTTGGCGGTGCGGCCCCGGCAGAAGAATCCCGTCCCCTTCGTGTGCTCCATCCCGGTGCGGAGCCCCGCGGGTGGGAGATAATCACCCTCCGTCTGTTCTGCCCACAGATAACGGCGAAGTCACCGTCCTGCAGGCAGGAAGGCACGAGTTCCCCTTCACCTTCCAGCTCCCAGAGTAAGTTCATGGTTTCCTTAACACAGAGGGGAAGAGCCGCTGCTGGGAGCACAGCACCTCCACCACAAACCTGCCGGCAGAGCCCTCAGAGTCACTCTTTCTCATTCCAGGACCCTGGCGACGTCCTTCGAGGGCAAACACGGCAGCGTGCGCTACTGGGTGAAGGCCAAGCTGCACCGGCCCTGGGCCACGGTGAAAAAGGTGAAGAAGGAGTTCACCGTCATCGAACCCATCGACATCAACACCCCTGCGCTGCTGGTGAGCCCCCGTGCCCGAGCAGAGCTTGTCAGGGGTGCGCCATGCGGTGGGGATGGGCACCAGGAGTGCAGAGGCTGCTGCACCTCCTGCTTTTTGGAGCTGGAATGCATTGCAACAGCATCTTGCATAAGGCTCCTAGGAGCCTGTGCTGCTCCCCAGCAGGTTGGCTGTGCCAGGGAAGCGCTTGCCTTGTGTTTTATTGTTCCTTTCTGAGCAGCCTCTGCCTGTCCCTTTTTTCAGGCTCCTCAGGCGGGTGCTAAGGAGAAACTCGCCCGCGCCTGGTACTGCAATCGTGGCCAGGTCTCAGTGACTGCCAAGATTGACCGCAAAGGCTACACCCCCGGTGAGCACCTCCCTCGGGCACCCAGGGTGAACTTTGGCCGGAGGGGACTTGGGGTCACCTGCTCGTCCCCGCCGTGCCAACGGGCAGATGAACCCCCGGTGACCCCCGTGCAGGAATTCCTCGGGGCAGGACTGGGCTCCGTCTGCAACATGTGCATCTGCTCGGCAGGTGAGGTCATCCCTATCTTTGCTGAGATTGACAACTGCACCAACCGGGCGGTGGTGCCCAAAGCAGCCATCATTCAGACTCAGACTTTCATCGCTCGGGGCACCAAGAAGCAGAAGAAGTCAGTGGTGACCAGCATCGTCGGGGACTCCATCGCTGCGGGGAAGCGCGAGGTGTGGCACGGGCGGGCGCTGAAGATCCCTCCGGTGGGGCCGTCCATCCTGCAGTGCCGCATCATCCAAGTGGAATATGCCCTGAAGGTGAGGGGTGCGTGGGGACCGCGGTGGGGCTCAGCTCTCTCCCAAAGCTGTGCTTGTCAAGGTTGGTGCTCTGTGCCATGTCTTGTGCTGAGCATCTCCCTGCGTGTCCCACTGCAAGAATTCCCTTCTTCCCTTCACCCGGGCAAGCTCTGCCCCTCTGTGGGAGTAACGCAACAGCTGAGTTCCCCCACTGTCTGCAGGTCTGTGTGGATATTCCTGGCACATCCAAGCTGCTCCTGGAGCTGCCGCTCGTCATCGGGACGATCCCACTGCATCCGTTTGGCAGCCGCACGTCCAGCGTCAGCAGTCAGTACAGCATCACCCTGGACTGGCTGAGCAGCATCCCCGAGCAGCCTGAAGGTGAGCAGAGGCCAGGGCACGTTTTCAGCCTCGACAAGTCAGGGAATGGCACGCTTGAAGCCGCTTCAGCTGCACGTTCCCCATTCCTCGACGCTTTTCTTTCTTCTCTTCAGCCCCCCCCGATTACTCAGCGGTGGTGCCCAGCCCCACAGCCGAGCAGAGCCTGGCCCCGCCGTGCCGCAGCGAGCTCGGGGCTGTTCTGGAAGGGCCCTTCTTCGCCTACATCCAGGAGTTCCGCTTCCGACCGCCTCCGCTCTACTCTGAGGTGAGGAGCCGTGCGGGTGGTGCGGGGTGATGCACCCACTGCTGCCGGGGGTCCTGACTCTGGGTTTGGCGTTGCAGATCGACCCGAACCCACCTTCAGACGGCATCCGCCCGCGCTGCATGACCTGCTGAGCAGTGCTGATGGCATCGTGACCGTTGGGCTGCAGTCAGAGCGCCCGCAGGATGGCAGTGGGCGCGTGGCGGCCGTGAGAACGCTGAGCCCCCACCACAGGCACTGCCCTGTGGGGTCTGAAGGGCTGGAACCGCCCCAGCGTTTTGGGGTTCAGATGGAGCTGGGATGGTGCTCCTCTATGTGTGCTCCAGCACCTCCTGCTGTGGAGAGCTTTGAGCTCAGAGGTGTTGCAGGGAATCCAGAGAATGTTTAAATCCTGTGCTGGGTTTGGACCCCGCGGTGCTGCGGGTGCAGCTCTGCTGCTGCAGTTGCTTCTCCAGAACTGCAGTTTCCTAAGGAGAAAACTGGCCGGGTGAGGCAGACTGTGCTGCTGGTGAGCACGGCTGGGAGCCGGGAGCTGCTGCAGGGGTGGCTGGAGCCGCCTGGCAGCTGGGTGGGGGCAGCAGAGCCCCCCGTGGCCAACATTGGGGCTGTGTAATTCCCAAAGCAGCAGAGATCTGCGGTGTTGTTTTGGTGCTGCTCTTGCAGGGTGGCACAGACGTGGCCCCTCACAGTGCTTTGTTGGCCAAGGAAACAAGAAAAAAAAGCTGGAGTGGGTCCTCCAGGGCAGCCACAAGAGACTGTGCGTTCCCCCCGACCCCTGCGCAGAGCCCCAGCCCCGGTGCTGGGCATTGCTCAGAGGATTTTCTATTGTTTGTATCAGTGACCACTTTTATATCGACCACTCTTTGTCTCTGACGTTACTCTTTTCGTACAACTTCAGTTGGGGTGATTTCTCTGAAATAAATTTCTTTTAACCAACTGCAGCTCTCAGCTTTTGCATTTGGAGTCATGCTGGGTGCGTGCCCCAGTGCTGCTTCCCCTTTCCCAGAGCTCAGCAGAGCGCTGCTCTGCTATGTGCCACTGTTCCTCTTCCATGTGGCCTCATCCCCTTCCCACCCCCATGGCAGCACCCGTCGGGTTCTGCAGTGCTGATGTTCCCCGTCGTGCAGCTCCTGCGCCCGCTGTGCTCACAGTGAGCTTCGGGTTTGCTGCACTTCTGCACCCCGTGTCTGCTGAGCACAGCAGATCTCAGAGGGTCTGAAGTGGGGCTGAGTTCCACAGTGTCCTCCAGGGCTGTGCTGTGACAAACACTGCTGCTGGAATGTGACTTTTCCCCCTGGTTTCGTTTGTTTTTCTTCTTTTTTTGTTTGTTTTCCTTTTTGTGTGTGTGTGTGTGTTTTTCTTCTTTATGTTTCTCTTCTGTTTGGGTTTTCATTTCCTTTCTTGCTTTTTGGACCTTGCTCAGTGTTCAGACCTGCACCCCATGCCAGCGCTGCCACGCAGGACCCACAGGTGCTCCATGCACCCTTACCCAAACTTCCCTTTGCTTTGCCTCCCCTCGGGACAAGGATGGAGATGCTTCATGGTGATGTTGCTTGCAGATGCACACCCCCGGTGCTCTGCTTCTCCCTGAAGCCATCTTTCCAGTAACTCTTCTTGTAACAGCCTCAGGGCTTCCTTGGAAAGCCGCAGCGATGGCTTTACCAGTCCTCCAGTCCCGGAAGGGCTAAAAATACCCCCAGGGACAGAGCTGGCATCCCCTGCTCTGCAGCCTCGGCTCCAAAGCCCTTCTCCCGCAGCCCAGAGCCTCCGTGCTGCCGTCTGTCTGCTGCGTCCCCGCTCTGCTCCGGTGCCACTTGCAGAAGGCCACGGCATGCTGTGCACCCATGGGTGGCCCTGAGCCGCCGCATCCTTCCCCGGGTCGGGTGCCCCCCCCCCCCCCCCCCCCCTCGTGCCGGCGGCGGCGCTGGCAGGGACAGAATGTGCTCCGAGAGCTGCGGATTAACAGCGCGGGCATCCATCCAGCTCCGGGAAAACAGCTCTTCCTCCACCACCTCCCAGCTGTGCGTGTTGGGAGCCACGTGGTGGGAGCTCCAGCGTGGATGGGGTCGGACAGCTGGGATACGGCTGGGTTTGCACCCTGATGGGTGCGAGCCTGCGAGAGACAGGGCCAGCAGTGGGACTGCCCCCCCCCCCCGCTCCCCCAACCCCATCATTACCTCCATTATTTTCACTGTTTTTGCTCCAGTGCTGCAAAATCTGATCCCTGGGGACCCCTTCACGTGGGGACACCGGAGCCACTGCTGCCCACCTAAACAGAGGCGCAGCCCTGCTCACACCGCCCTTCGTGGGGGATTTGGGGAATCCCTGTGTGGGTTGGACAGGAACGACTGCTCCTCCTGCAGCGCTCCGGGGCTTCGGCTGCCCGCAGTGGGGAGAGATCGCACAGAGCCAGCGCTGCGTTCTGCACAGAGGGAGGCCTGGAGCGGACGGACGGACAGACGGGCGCACAGCGCCTCCGAGGGTCTGCTGGTGTGTGCTGTGTGTCACAACCCCGGCAGGAAAGCAGCCCCTCTTGTGGACAATGGAAAATTTTTACGGCTTTTGACTTTTGTCCAATGATTTCAGAGCAGGGAAGCGGCTCACAAACATGTCTATGGGTAAACAGCGGCCGCGGGGCCGGGGCTATGGGTGGTGGAGAGGACCCCCCTCCCCTCCCCGCATCCCCAGGTCCCTCCCTGCAGGCACAAACACGGGGACAAATATTTTGACTCTCCTTGGTGGAGGGCCAGGTCCAGAAAAACAACAACGACGGCAAGGAGGAGAAGCCGTGCGTTCACCTGCTGGCAGCACATCATGGGCAGTGCGGGGACCCCCGTGCCCATAGCTGGGGTGTGACACGTGGTGACATCGCTCCTGCTGGTCCCTTTGCACAAAGCCCCCACTGCTGTGCTGTTCTTCTCCCTGCCAGATCTCAGAGCTGCCTCACACTTGCAGTTTCGCAGTTCGGCTTTTAGTTCTGAAGGACATCAGGGAACGGAGCCGAAGGGTCACACAGGTGGGGGCCGTCACCGCGTTTGTCCCCTGTCCCCGCAGAGCCGTGAGTCCCAGCAAACAGCTGCGCTGCTCTGCCGATGGACAGCGGGGCCGGGGGGTGGATTTGTCCCATTGAACCCCTCGGCCCACCCGCAGCCCATGGTTACACCCCGACCCCACGGAGCCCGCGGCTGCTGCCCGGCTCGCCAGCAAGCGTGATCCCCATTGCCGTGATGTCAGAGGGTTTACAGCGCGCTGAGGGAGAGGACTTTCCTGATAAGCAGCCGTGTGATGCGGCCGTCCCGTCGGGGCCGGGCCGCGCTGGTTGTGGCCGGCGGCAGCGCGGTTTGCTCCGCTTTCTTGTGGTTCTCAGAGAGAAAAACAGGGAGAGCGCTGGGGAGGAGCGCCCCGCGGGCAGAGCAGGAGGACCCGCGGGTGTCGGGTTGTTTGCTGCGGACTCGGCGCCGTGCAGCCGCTGAGATTTGCTGCCCAACCCGGCGCTGTTTTCGGCGTCCCGCACCGCCGTTGTCCTCGCTGACCCTTTTCGGGGAGTCGGTTCCGCTCCACCGCTGCCAAAGCCCGCAAAGCTCCGGGCACCGCGCGGCCCCCCAGGCCCCGACCGCCCCCAAAGCGCAGCAGTGACCAGAGACACTTTCCATTCCGTACGCTCGTGGCAAAGAAAAACCTCATCCTGAGGAGCGAGCGCGAGAAAACAGCAGCGCTGCGCAGTGTGTGCGTGAGTGAGTGTGAGTGAGTGTGAGTGCGTGTGTGCGTGTGTGAGCGTGCAAAGAGCGGAGCTGCTGTTGTCGTCGGTTGCGAAACGCAGCGCAGAAACACCCGGAGCTGCAAAACCGCACCGCGCGCGGCCGCTTCTCCGCCCCATTGCACCCCTCGGTGCGCGCCCGGCAGCGCCCGGGGCCGTTTTGGAGCGGAGGGGATTTGGGGACCCTACGAGGTTGGATTTTTTGGGGGGTGCAGCTCCGGAACTGCGGGGTTTGCCGCTCCCTCAGCACGGTGCCGCAGTGGGGGCTGCAACGCCCCGGGGTTGGGGGGAGGAAGGACGGGGGGATGGGAAACGCACCGCCGTGAGTGCGGGCGGGGCTCCGCATTGGGGCAGCGTTGGGAGCGGCGATGTGCGGAGCTCCCACGGCCGGCACCGGGAAGAGCACGGCGCGGTGCGGCCTTCTCCAAAAATAACGGCGGCGGGGTCGGAATTGGTGCGGCTCGGGACGTCGGGGCACGCGGTGTGCGGCTCGTCGGCTCCTCGGATCCGTTGTGAGAAGGAAAAGCTCCGAGCCGACGCAGGGGGCGGCGGCGGCTTTGGGGCGCCTTTGGGGCTGCTGTGTCGGGCTGAGCTTTTTCCCCATTCCTGCGGGATTTTCCCCATTCCTGAGGGATGACTTTCGATCCTCATCAGCCTGGGAGGAGCCCCACGCTCCCGTGTGATGAGCTGCCCGTTCTCAGGCCGCACGCGGCCGATGCCGTAGTGTGTCCGGGCGGTGCGCGGTGTCGATGCGGCCGATGCTGTGTCCTTGCAGCCGTTCCCGTCCCTGTGCCGCTCCTGTGGCCGTGCTCGGATCGCCGCCTGCACGGCCGCTCCCGGAAACTCTTTTGGAAAATAGTTCAGTGCCGTTTAAACTCATTAGGGAACCCTGAGACTCTCATTCGTGCTAATTGGCATCACGCGAGGCTTCATTAATTTTCCCTTGCGCTGTGCCTCCGGGCTCTGTCGGTGCACGGGGTCACCGCGCCGCTCGGGACGGGGCTGTCCCCAAAGGGACACGACGGGATGGTGACCCCGCGGGCACGGAGAGAACCCCTGCCCCCACCGCCCCCCCTTGGGGTGTTTTTCAGACGGTGCCGGGGACTTGCTGTCCTGCCACAGTCTCGCTGTCGGATTCCCGTGTCCTGGCCCCGTGCCGGGCCATGTGCTCGGCCCGAGCCGTGACCCTAAAAGTTGGGCTGTAAACAGCAGCCGGGCTGCAACCCGAGCGCTGCGCTCCCGTAACGCAGCATTTCCTCTGCGAGCAGCGGTGAGCACCGCCGCCGGGTGCGCTGCGAGTTGGGTCCGTCGCAACCAAAGCCCTAAAAAGAAGCGCCATGGGGGGCGGGAGGCTGCTGGCTGCCCGTCCTCCTCCTCAGCCCCACCGCTTTGGGTTTGGAGGGGACGGAGCGGGGCTGCAGCGCTGCGATAGGACCGGGGAAGGGTCAGCGCCGTGCGGCGGGGATGTGCTGTGCTGCCCCAAAACCCCGCGGGGTTGGGATGTCCGCGGTGGGGGGTTCGGTTGGGGTCGGTTTGTGCGACGATGGCGGCGTGAGGCTGCGGGAGGGGAGCGCGGGGCTGCTGCCACCTTGTGGTCCCGTTGGTGGCTCCGACGCGGTGACGGCGGACACGACGGAGCGCCCCAAAACGCGGGGACCTCCGCAGCCCGGGGTGCTCCGAGCAGCAGCCGAAGGGGGGGAAACCCCTCGTGTGGCGGGACGGGGGGACGCTGCCTCTGCCCACATCTCCCTCTTGCCTCTTGAACCCGTTTCTGTTTCCTCAGCATTAATTTTTGCTCTCTCAGCACCTACCGGAGGCCGCCTACACCCCGGTGTGGGGCAGACGGACCACAAACCGCTGCTGAAAGTTCTGCCCCAGATACGGCGCACGGCGCAGCCCCCGCAGCCCCAGGTGTCTCACCCCACTGCTTGGGGGCCCAACAGCAAACCCCGGAGTTCCCCGACCCGGGTGGGACAAGGAGAGCACGGCGGTGCTGCTGTTTGGCTTTCTTTACTTCTACACTCTGGTGTTTCAGTGCTCGGCGCTGGGCTTGGCTTTACCCCCATCCCACGGGGGCAGGGATGCAGTCTTCACTCTGATGTGCTCCCAAAGCAGCTTCCTCGTGCCCAAGGAAACATCCCCACCCCCATAGGGGGAGCTGAGCCCGCAGCCTCCTGCCCTCATTACTTTGGGCTGCACTGTGCCTCACTGGGTCCCGGCCCTGTGCAATGCAGCAGTGTTCCTGGAAATCAGAAACCCCCAGGAAAGTGCCCACAGGGCCTTGGGGAGGGCGTTCAGCATCACACCTGGATGCTCAGCATCAGCCCTCCCGGACCCTCAGCATCACCCCCTCGCTGTCTGAGGGACCCGCTTTGTCCCCCATCCCTGGGATCCCTAAGGCACCGCCTTCTCCTGCAGCAGCCCCACACCCTCCTGATCCTGTGGGGAGATGGGTTTGAACAGCACAAGAGGTGGCAGCGCCTGGCTCAGCCCCCAGCTCCCTGCGCCCTCCTCTGCAGCTGTGGGACCACAGGTGGGGACCTCCCCCAGCCCCCCTGACCCCCCTGGCTCCGGGTCCAGCACCTCCTGCCGCCGGTACGTGAAGGGCAGCTCCATCTTGCAGTGTGGCTGCAGTGGCTCCATCGGTTCTTTGGGGCTGAGCTGTGGTGTGTGGGGCCGCGTGCTGGTGGCTGCCTCCTTTTCAGGGCTCAGCTCCATTACCAGCAACTCCCCGGGGCTGAGCTGCTCCGAGGGCTCCAGGAAGCTCTTCCAGGGCTTGTTCTATTGGGGAGAAGAAGCACTGTGCTGGGAGGTCTCGGCCTCACAGCTCATCCCAGGGCGCACACTGCAGCTCACCTGGCTCATCTCACTGGCTGAGAACCGGAGGGCTTCACTGCCGGTAGGTTTGGGCAGGGGAGGGAAGAGCATCCCGTGGAGCCTGGGGAGATGGCAGTGGGGTCAATGCGGGGGGAGAGGGGCACGGAGGAACCGTCATTCTGCCTGTTCTCACCTCTTCTTGCTCAGCTGGTAGATGAGGGCGGCAGCTGGGATCCCCAGCGAGATGCCCAGGTACTTCAGGTTGGAGCTCCACACCGCTCCACCTGGAGATGAGCACCTCTGGGTGATGGTGACATCCCGGCCCCGTGTCCCTGTGCCCAATGGGACACAGGAAGGTCTCCATGAGAAAGGGAGGAGGTCCCCCACCGTTACCCAGCGCCGTGGTCTGGAAGTGCCACCGAGCACTGCAGGAGCCCCCGCCGCCCGCCGCCACCTCCTGGATGCCCACCCTGTAGGCGGTGCCCGGTTTCAGGTCTCGCAGTGCGTATCGCGATGCTGATGCGTCCACGTCGCCATCTGTAAGTGACACCGCGTGGGCAGCAGCGCTCAGAGCCGCCCTCCCTCGGTCCCCCCCACCCTCCTGGCAGCGGTGCCACCACTCACACGTCACGTTGTCCCCTTCAGCAGCGTGGCACACGCGGTACCCCAGCAGCGCCCCGGGGCAAGCAGCGCGTAGGGACGGCTCCCAGAGCAGCACGGCGGCATCGGCGCTGGCGTTGATGCGGACAGAGGCGGCCAACGAGGCTGCGTGGGGTGGGAGCGGATGTTGAGGGTCCGGCCGGCCCCCTGCGCGGCACCGGGGGGTTGCGATGTCCCCGCTCCCTACATACTGTTGCCGACGAAGTGATGCTGCAGAGCGAAGGTGGCCCAGTCCTGCTCTGCGCCGCGGCCGTGCACGGCGAGCCGGTAACACGCCGGCGCTTCCAGCTGCCCTACGTGAGGAGCGGCACCGTCACCGCGTGGCCGCAGCCAGCGGGAGGGCGTTGGGGCTCGGTGCGCTGCCGTGCCTGCCTGCCAGTGGGAGCTGCGTGCGAGGAACTCCTCCTGCACGCAGCGCCCCGGCTGTGGGGCTCCCGGCGTCCGCTGCCACTCGGAGCAGAAGGCGAAGCCTCGCGTTGGTGCCTCCCAGCGTGCGGTCACCATGGTGCCCACAGAGCTGATGTTCTGGAAGCTGAGCTCTGGGGCAAAACACGGGGAGCAGAGAGGTGAGGGTGGTGCTGGGCCTAGGAGCCTCGTCTTTTCTGTGGCCTTTTTGGGTACCCGTGTGCTGCTCCGCCGGCACCTGCAGCCGCCGTGCAGGGCTGCTTCCTGCGGCGTTGGTGGCCGTCAGCACGATCTCGTATGCAGCCCCGCAGAGCGTGAGGTTGTACTCTGTCTCCTCTGCCCCCAGCACCACCTCGTCCTCCTCAGCGCAGCTGCACTCCGGCATGTGGGCACGCAGGGTGTAGCTGACGTCCCCCTGTGCCACGCGGGCGCGCTGCGTGGGGACAGCGGTGGCAATGCCGCGGGGTGCCTGCAGGACACGGAGCCATCCCAGCAGTGCGCCCACCTGCCCACCTGCCAGCCCAGCTGTAGCAGCCTCTGCCCGTTTCTCCCGAGGTGTCCCAGCCTGAAGCTCAGTGTGGGGCTCTCCAGGATCTCTGCGAGAGGAGCGATGCGCTCACCCAGGTGCGTGCCGGCCAGGTGCAGGGATGTGGGGTCCCTCCTGGTGCCGCACTCACCCTCGGGGATGAAGATGGATGGGCTCCAGTCGCTCCAGTGGCTGCTCCAGTGCTGCGTCCTGTGCCGGAGCTGCACCTCGAAGGCAGCGGTTCCCCCCAGCTCACAGGTCACTGCAGAGCACCAGGTCAGTGGTGGTGAGGTGACCCCTCTCAAGATGAGTTTGTCCCCCCACCCCAACCCTGAGCATGGGGCAAAACAGACCTGGGTCATCCTCTCCATCCTCACCCTTCCCTGTCTCACACATCACCTGCGGAGAGAACAGTGGGACCGGCCACCAGGTGAAGGTGATGCTGACCAAGGTGCAGGGGACGTGGTGGCTGGGGGATCTCTTTGGTCCCCTCACCTGCATCCAGCTGCCATCACCCACCCGGCGGAATTGAGCCTCCCTGCGTGGCGGCGGCCGCTCCTTGTGGTGACACTGCGGCCGCGGCAGCCTCAGCTCCAGGCGCCCATTGGCCTTAGTGAAGGATGTCCCATGGGAAGGGGGATCCAGCTTCACTGCAGGGACAGCACAGCTGTGGTGACCACTGCAGCCCGCCGCCCTGCCTGGTCCCCAGCACTCACCGGCCTCGTCGAGGTGCAGCGTGACGTTGGGGCTGCGCTCCAGATGCTGTCCCCAGCGCGCCTCCACCCAGGCCGTGGCATTGGTACGGACATAAACTTGGTGCTGCTTCAGGGTGCGCACCGTGGCGGTGCCCGCATTGTGCTGCTGGCACAGCTGCCGGCTCACATAGCTGCAGGGAAAGCGCTCAGCCGTGGTGTAAAGCAGTGGCACCGTGTCCCCTGTGGCCCCGAGTGTCCCCTGTGTGCTCCTGATGGACACGGTGTCCCCAACTCACCAGAGCACGAGGACGTAGGTGGTGCTGCCAGCAGGGCCCTGGGGCGGCCAGGAGCAGGTGAAGGGGCCAGAGCTGCAGCGCCTGAAGCAGGAGAGCCCGGGGGGGGGATCGGGGGCACCTGTGTGTAGGGAGTCACACCCGGGCTCGTGGGGGCTTGGGGTAGTGGAGCTTGCTTGACCTGGAGTCATGGGGATGGGGAGGGGGTCCAGGGGCTGGAGGTGCTCCATCTCCCAGCTCCCTGCAGGGCCCCCTCCAGCCCCCCGGTACCACTGCGACTCCACATGACCCACAGCGGCCGGAGGTGGCTCGGAGGCCGTGCAGAGGGCGGGCGGGCTCAGCCGGCAGTGGGGCTGTGGGCTCCCGGCACCGGGACGGCCGCGTGCTGCAGGCAGTGCTGCGCCGCGCAGTGGGGCAGAGAGACAACGGCAGTCGTGCAGTGATTCCCAAAAAGCCCTCTTCTCCCATGGATGCCACACAGCTTTGCCCGCCAGCACCATCCAGACCCCATCCCGCTGCCCGCAGCCCCAGCACCGTGCCCGGAACACCTCCGTCCGCTGCCATGAAAGCTCCATGCACGACTCCCTTCCCTTATCACCCCGTATCGCTCAGCGAAACCCTCTGCGTTTATCTCCCATCGCGGCAGCACTCACCGCCCCGCGCCGGCAGCGCCAACGCCAGCAGCAGCCACCGCAGCGCCGGGACCCCTCCGCGCTCCATCCTCACCGCGCTCCCCCCGCAGGGTCCCGCTCCCCCCGGCTCTGCCCCCACTGCCGCTTCCTCTGCTGCTGAGCGCGGCCGTTGCCGGTGCTGGCGCGTGCTTCTCTTGGACCAAAACCAAAAGAGAAAGCAGCGTTGATGTCCCCCGCTGTGCCCGCACACCCGCCCCGACGCTGCCAGAAAAGCAAGGTAAGCAAAAGAGGTGTTGTGTTGCGCTGCTTTTTCTTTTTTCCTTTTTCTTTTTTTGGCAACCTGCACGTCGTGGCTTTGATGCGCTGCCCGTATTTGGTGAATCAGGAGCTGCGAGGTCGGGGCTGCTCCCAGCGCGGGGCCGCATGTCCGGGCAGAGCCCTCCGGCCCCCAGCGCACATCGTCCCCCCCTCGAGGTCACAACAAAGCCCCACTGAGGCACAGGGCACGGCGTCACCGGGCGCCGTGTGATCGCGGGCGGCAGAGCCGGGTGGCACCGCGCACAGAGCGCCGTTGTCCCCGCAGAAAATGTCCCCTTGTGCGCCGCTCCGCGTGGGGACGGCGCGGCGGCGGTGGTGGAGCGCCGTGCAGGGGCGGCTGTGACCCCTCAGCCCACCGCCGTGGGCGCACGCTCAGCCCTGTGGCTCTTGGAGCAGCGTGCTGTGCCAAACCACGCCGTGCCGTGCCACGCTGTGCCAAATGAAGCTGTGCTGCGCTGGGGGTGTCGTGCCAAACTGAGCTGTGCCAAACTGAGCTGTGCCATTCACCACACCAAACCAAGCTGTGCCATGCCAAATGAAGCTGTGCCATGCCGTGCCATGCTGCTCCAAACCAAGCTGTGCTGTTCCGTGTTGTGCCAAACTAAGCTGTGCCTTGCCATGCAGTGCCGTGCCAAACCAGGCCAGGCCACGCCACAGCCGCACCACGCCGTGCCATGCTGACCTGCGCCGTGCCGGACGTGGCTCAGCCCTTACTGTGCCGGGCCATCAGGGAGGAAGGGACCACCGCGCCGCCCGCCCCGCTCCCAGCCACCCCCGTGCCGTGCCGCGCCGTGCCGGGGCCGCTGGGCGGCGCACCGGGAGCACCGGGCGGAGCGGGAGCAGCGGGAGGCGGCGGCGCGGCGCGGCGGAATGGACGAGCCCAGCATCCTGCGGCGGAGGGGGCTGCAGGTGAGCGGCGCGGAGCTGCGCGGGGCGGGTGGGCGCGGGGTGGGTGCCGGAGGGCGGCTGTGTGCGTGTGTGTGCGTGTTGGATGTGGGTGCGAGAAGGGTGGATGCTCGGTGAGTGCGTGTGCGAGCGGGAGCCGTGTGTGCGGGAAAGGGGGCTGCCGTGCATGCGAGGAGCGGTGCTGCGGGTGGGATTGGGGTGCGGTGCCGGCTGTGGGAGAGGATCCCGGCTGTGGGTGCCGGGGGGCACAGGGCCGTGTGCGGGGGCTCTGCCGGGGGCTCCGTGGGAGCAGCGCGGGACCCCCATCCCAGCGATGCCCAATTTTTGCCCAACCACGGCCGTGAGGGTTTGCAGCCCCCAGCCCCACTGCGCACCCCCAGGGACTCCGACCCCCCAACCCACCCGCCTATCCTTCTCCCACACCCCCAGATCCCCGCCGCCGCTGTCGGAGGGCAGGCAGACGGCCGCAGCGGGGGCTCACGCTGAGCCCGAAGCTCTGCGCCGATTTTCCGGGTGACCTCACAACTCCGTCCCCATCTGCAAAACGGAGCGCTGCCCCCCGCGGGCCGTCCCGAGCTGTCGGTGCGGTTGGAGCGCGGTACGAAGCTGCCTTCATCCGAGCTGGCAGCTCCCCGGGGCGCCGCGCTGTGCTGCGTGCTGCTGCGGTGGGGGGCGGTGGGGGGAAGGGACCCCACAGCAACCGCAGCACCACGGCAGCCACAGCGCTGCTCTCGGGTGGTCCCTGGGGGGAGCAGCCCCGCGGCCGTGGGTTCAGCTCCCTGCAGCAGGTGGGGACGGTTGTCCCAACGCATCGGGCAGAAGTTCCGCCCCCAGTGCTGTCCCCAGTGCCAGCGCTGTCCCAGCAGCCGATGGCGTGGCCCTGGGTGAGGATGGGGATCTCAGCCAGGGGACAGCGGGGTGAGGGTGCTGGGGGAGCTCCCGCTCCGTGCGGGGGCCCAGCACGCGGCCGTGGGGTCACAGTGCTGCTCCAGGGCACCGACACCGTGCACCCACACTGTCACAGCGCACCCACCCCGGTACCACGCACCCCCCCCCCCCGCCGCCCCCAGCACCCACGGGCCCCTGCTGCCGAATCGCTGTGCATCGGGGCGTGATGTCACCCGTTGTCATGGCAACGCTGCTGCATCACTGTGTTGCTGTGCGCCCCAACCCAGGGATTTCCGTGGGGGCAGCGGGACGGGGCGCGGGTACCCCGGCTGCGTGGGGTGCAGGAGTGACAGCAGCCGCTCACACAGCCTCCACCCGTGGGCGCTGCCAGGAGGGGAATGCGGTTAAGCTGCTTAGGGGTACGGGGCCGGTGGGCACAGATCGGGGCAGTGATGGGCGTCAGCAGCACGTGCGGCCACCACGTGTGCCTCCGTCCCGCAGTCACCACGGCACGCGCTGCCCGCCGGCACCCACGGCTCCCTGTGTCTGCTGGGTGGCACACGGGTGGGCGCTCGGCCCCTGCTGCACAGAGGCTGCTGTGCTGCACCGCTGCCCTTTGCCCCTCGTGCCACCTGCAAGCAAACAGCTTCCACCAGAGATCTTCCCATCGGCTGGAAAAATAAACAGCGTGCGGGGCGCCGGCTGCTGCCCACGGCCGAGTCTGTGGGACGGGGGGCAGGGACGGGGATGGGGGCACAGCCATCACCCTGCGGCTGTCGTCTCCTGTCCTCGAGGCCTGGCCACGCAGCCACCAGTGCAGGGCGCTGAGGAGCAGCTGCCCCCCCGTGCTGACCCCTCGGTGGGGATGGTCCCTGCGGTGGTAGCGGTGGCAGCCCTGACCCTGCTCGTTGCTTTTCTCGTTGCAGAAGGAGCTGAGCCTGCCGCGCCGAGGGAGAGCGTAAGTCTGCCGAGCTGCGCCGCGTGGGACGGTGGCGTCACCGGGAGGGCTGCGCCTGGGGCCGCACTGCCGCCTGCAGGGCTCAGCTGGATGCCACCTTGGGGTGGCCAGGTCTCGCCGTGCCCAAACCCAGAGTGGGATCACAGTGCTTTCTGATGCCAAAGAGATGTGATATGTGTGTGTAAGGGTGTACTGGGCAGTACTGGAGTGTACTGGGGCGAGCTGTGCTGCCGCAGTGCGTTGGGACGTTCCGTGGTGTATTGGGGTGCACCGGCGTGCAGCAGGAGCCGATCCTGAAGCTGTGCTGAGGCTGTTCGGGGCACTGTGGGGTGATGAGGGGGTGCACCGCTGCTGCAATGCCTCTGTGGGGCTGCGGGGCACACGGGTGCTGTGCCAGGGGTGCACTGGAGGGGGCGCTGGGGCCGCTATAGGAACTGGTGCTGTACTGGGCCGTCCTGGAACGGTGCTGCTCTGTGCCCAGGCAAAGCCCGGGAGCGGAGCAGCACCGAGCAGCTTCTGCGCCGTCAGGGCTGTGCTGGGAGCTGGGGGCTGCGGTGCCGCGCGGTGCCGAGCCGTGCCGAGCTGTACTGAGCCGTGCCGAGCCGTGCCGAGCCGTGCCGATCTGCAGGGGCGGGTCCGTGCCCGGCGGGCCGAGCTCCTCTCCCGGCGGTGCCGCCGCTGCCGCCGCCCGTTGGAGCCGCCCAGCGCGGGGGCTGCCGGTGCGACGGGCGGAGCGGAGCGGAGCGGCGGCGGCGGCATGAAGGCGCGGCGGGAGCGGCTGAAGATCCCCGCGCTGACCTTGGAGTGAGTCGGGAAGGGGCTGCCGGCGGCGCCGGGCTCGGGCTGATGGCGACAGCGGCATCCCCGCATCGCCAGCATCCCCACATCCCGCGCGCTCCGAGCATCCCCGCGTGCTGAGCATCCCCGCATCCCCCCGTCCCGACCCCCCCCATCCCCTGGGCGTCCCCTCATCCCGAGCATCCCCAGCTTTCCCGCCCGCCGTGGCGTCTGCCCTCCCGCATCCCCAGCCCTCGCCCCCCGTCTGTGCCCCCTTCAGCCCTGCCCACAACGTCTCCCTTCCGGTTCTCCCCCCTCTCCTTGATCTTTGTCCCCCGTTCCCGATGGTGCCCCGGGAGGGGAATTGCTGCTGCTGTGCCGTGCCCC